TCAGGACGTAATTTTGTTGTTATTTGAAGCCCCACCCTGGCTTTTGCCAGGGGCCGCAATATAGGCAGGCCATAAATATGGCCAACTGTCTGAACGCGGTTTCTGGGACCTCTTCACAGTGATCCTCATCCACATGGTGGCACTTTGTGTCATCGGGTGATTATCGCTTGTGTGATGTCCTGGTGGGGTAGAAAGTCAGTCGGTCAGTCAGAGCCTGAATCCATTTTTTCATTTCCAGAGTGAGTGTCCAATTCTCACATCCGTATGAGAAAACAAACACTCCCAGTGATTTGTAAATATTGACCTTGACTGCGATGCAGATCTTGCTCTTCCACATCGTGTTCAGCTGGGACATCGCAGCTGTTGCCATATCAAGTTTAGTTTAGTTTTCAAGAGTAAATATATTCAAATCCGGGTCTCCAAGCCCCAAAGAAATATAATAATTTAATTATCCATTCTGTTCATGTTTACTCAATACTCCCTCTCATATATTTATACAAAAAAAAATGTCCAAAATGTTTATATAAATTACACATTTTTTAAAAATTATAATTATCAATGACCTGTGTAAAATGTTTCTAAATGGATTCTTGGTGAATTCCTGGATTCTATGCCTTCTCCACCCCCCCCCCCCCCCCAGGGTTTCTGGACCAAATTGTAAATCCACCACTGATGCCACACTCCCTTGCTTTTGGGTCTATACAGTTCAAGCAGATATCATTTACACTAAATGTATTTTTTTTTACAAGTTTATAAAGATTCCACATTAACATTACATAACAGTGGAGAACATTAAGCATCAAACATTACAAAATAAATATTACAGTGACATACAAAAACAAATTTACACTAAAACCCCAAAAACTCGATGTTTATTAATTTTGTATAAAGTTTAAAAGTACAATTTGTGCTGTCTTTGAAATGGATGTTCTACTTGTTCTTAGCCTCCACTGGCTGTAAACTCTGGCAAAAAGTTCTTGCTGTTCGTCCAGTTCTAAGCTTTGGTCTTGTTACTTATCTTCTGTGTGTACATCTGTTTGACATATCTGCCTTATTTGTATGCAGACTGTTGGTTCTTTACCTCTCAGGCAGATGCAACTACGACTTCAAAGAAAACACCCCTAATTAGTCATTGCCTACAACACTGGTGCAAGCCAAACTTTACAAGTCGCTAAGTGAATTACAAAAGACAGTAAGTTTATATTAGAAACAGCATTAAAGATTTAGATAATCTATTTCAAGTGAATAAAAGAAGAAGTAGAGCTAAAAAAAGCAGGGTTCTACTCTTTCTTTTTTCTGCCCCAGAATTTACATGAAGATAATGGAGGCTGATACTTTTGACATATTACAAGGTTAGATTCATCTCTTCCACAGTGCGACTCTCATACTGTCCAAAAACCCATGAGAATGGCTTCATTCTGCTGCCCACCATAGAAATTGAAGAAGTTTTCCTATCTACCCAAAGCTTTTGATGTAATATTTGCATTTGTGATCTTGCCGCTTTATGCTGTAGTTATTTCATGTATAAACCAAAAAACATAAGAAAACAGTTACGGGACATACGTTTTCGTCAAAATTAATATGTCTGTGAGCACCAAAAACATCCTAAGGACAATAATATCTGTAACATCTAAAATGCAACAAACTTACAACCACTTGTAACATTTGAGCTATGATACCTGTAACAGCTTAGGTGATTATTTTTCTTCTTTTACCCCGCCAGGACATCAAACACGCGATAAACACCCGATGACACAAAGTTCCACCATATGGATGAGGATCACCGGTGGAGAGGTACCAGATGACACAAAGTTCCACCATATGGATGAGGATCACCGGTGGAGAGGTCCCAGAAACCGCGTTCAGCCATTAGACCATATTTATGGGCGGGCTATATTGCGGCTCCTGGCAAGAGCCAGAGTAGGGCTTCAAATAAAGAAAAATTGCGTCCCACAAAAGGGATGACAAGATTATTACTTGGGTGATTTGTGACTGTATCATCTCAAAACTGATATCTGTGAGATCTAATATGATGTAACAATTGTAACATCTTAGACGTGACAATAATTGAAACATCTTAGTTATACTTACAAACATTTGTATCATCTCAAAAATGATGACTCCAGTAAGATCTAAGGCATTTTAATAATTTAAATATCTCTGACCTGACAATATCCTCATATTTCAGAGCTTCTAAAGAGTTTCCATCAGCACAGAACAATACAGACAACTTTACAAATTCATAAATTTTTTTTTTTTTTTTTTAGCTTTTTAACCATTTTCCTTGGGTTTGGAGAGCCATGAAAATTGGAATTCCCCAAAGAATATTTTGTAAACCACATTTTACAGAGGTCTTCTTCTTCTTCAGCATTCCGAGCCCTTGAGGTTCATGGCTGCAGATTTCACCCGCCTCCATTCATCTCTCTGGTTGGCCTTCAGCATTCCGAGCCCTTGAGGTTCATGGCTGCAGATTTCACCCGCCTCCATTCATCTCTCTGGTTGGCCTTCTCTTTCCAATTATTGGTGACACCAAGTGTTTGCAGGTCTTTCTGGACATTATCTCTCCATCGTCTTCTTGGTCTATCTCATAGTCTACGACCACTAATCTTTCTTGTGTATTATTTTACAGAGGTCACATAATTTTTTTGGGTATAAAATTGTATTACACACATTAAACAAATCTTTTTATAAAATGAAGAGGGAAGTAATGAATAAACTTAGACACAGCAGAGAAATAAAGGGATTACAGCATCTTGGACGAACAATATTTTTTTAATGGTGACATACCCACGACTCTGTCCCTATGAGACCATTAAGACCAAAAGCAAATTAAGACATCATAACATCTAAAATGCTGTTTGGGTTTCACAAATAACCCTCCTCACCTCCAATGCAATTTTAGTTTTACAAAATCTTTTCTAGTTTTCCTAGGCAGTGCGCAGGCATAAACAGAACCAATGACGTTAACTAGGCTTGTCAGGGTGTGCCAATGCAGCAATGCCAGCTGAAGACAACTGTGCTGCATTTCTGGGTCCCAGGGTAAAAGTTCCACTTATGATCAATATGTGTGTGTGTGTGTGTTTAAAAAAAAACTGGGTTTGCTAACATACACCTTAATACAGTAGTGAATGGGAAATTTCTTTTATTTTCTGATGTTTAATAGTCAGGCAACTGACTTATGGCCTGCTCCTACACGTATCATTAAAAATATCCAACATAAAATAAATGCGTATGCACAATTTGTACAGTGAGATTATACAAAAAAGAATAATCATGGTAATAAACATATGACATATTAAAATGTCCGCTAATATCACCATTCATGCATACACACACAATTTTTACAGTCGGATGATTATATCAGAGTTCTTAAGTTTTGATTACATTCAGTTTCAACTTATTGTTATTTTCATAATTCATTATTTCAATTGTTCCTTTTCAGAAAGCTGTTACTTTAATTCTTTTAAAAAAAGTTTTTTTTAAAGTGTATCATAACTTGTTGTTACTGAAATTTATCACTGTCTGCGTGTGAAGGAGTTAAAATATAATAGTATGAGATACAAGAATTGAACTAATATCTGGGGAGTGTAACAATTATTAGTGTTAGAAAAAGTTAAAATAATGATAGGATTAGTGCAACTGTCTGTCTACCACAGTAGTTTATATTATCTTCTTCTTCGCATTCACCAGCTGTAAACTCTAGCGGAAAGTTCTGGTTGTTTGTCCACTTCTCAACTGCAGTCCTGTTTCAGAACCTGAGTGTTGCGTGTGCATTCATTTGACTGATCTGACTAATCTGCATGCAGACTGCTGGTTCCTTGCCTCTCAGGCAGATGCTCTCCGACTTTGAAGGAAGCTCCCAATTAGTCGGCTCTTATGACATGCTTGTGGGTAGGCAGTGGGTCTATTCTTGTTTTCCCTATAACAGGGCCCTGGAACCCACACGGGAAGTTTCAATTATTGATTTGTATAGTGTAAAAAATAACTGTGCCAAAAGTAGTTAAAATTATTACTGGGATAGTGTAAAAAGTATCTGTGCTAGAAGTAGTTAACTCTTTCAGTCCCTGGAGATTTAGCATCAGAGGCCCAGGGGTAGAACAAGGAAACGTTGAATCGGAGAATCTTGCATTCACTGGGCTTCTAGATAGGAACCTATAATTGTATGACATGTTCCCTGGAACCGAAAGAGTTGAAACTATTACAGGATAGTGTTAAAACTATCTGTGCCAGGAGTAGTTAAAATATAGATTAGGATAGTGTAAATAACTATATGTGCCAGAGGTAGTTAAAATAAAAAATAGGGTAGTGTACAAGTAAGTTATGAAAGTTAAATTTTGGGCAGTGTAACAACTAACTGTGCCAGAAGTAATTAAAATTATGATTGGGATAGTGTAAAAACTATCTGTGCCAGAAGTAGTTAAAATAATGATTGAGGTAGTGTAACAGTAAGCTAATAAGATACAATTTGAGTAGTGTAACAACTATCTGTGCAAGAAATAGTAAAGATTTAAATTTTATTTCAGCAGTCTAACAACAATCCATGCCAGAAGTTGTTAAAATTATGACTGGGCTAGTGTAAGTTATTTAATTTAAAATTTGGGTAGCCTAACAATTATCTGTGATAGAAGAGAAGTAATTAAAATTATGACTGGGGTAGCGTAACAACCGTCCGTGTCAGAAACGGTTAATAAAATAACTGAAGTAACACACTTTGTGAAAAAAAGTTATTAGAGAGTCTGCTAATGTTTTCTTTTACTACTCCATCTGCTCTTTTTCAATATTACTGTATGAATGATACAGGAGTATTTGACAACATAAAAACAAAATAACATAAAGCATGCAATGTATCACTCTATCACACTTGCTGTTAAAAATTTGGCTTCAAATAATTAAACAAACAAAAAAACCGTGGAATGACTATCATAAAATTTAAATGATTTATGATATTAAAAATGTCCTTCAAACTTAATGCCAACAAAATGGCATCCATCTTTAAATGTTTATAAGTTGAGGTACGCAAAATTGTAATTATCTGGTGGAGGTGGAATGGGTGGAGCTTCGGCAGGGATGGGAATGCCTTCCGTGTCTAGCATTCTCATTTTGATCTCCATGGAAAGGAGAGTTTCCAAATCCTTGCTGACCTGACTGCTGACCATCTACAAAGATTTGATGGAGAAAAAAACAATTTATAACTAAGCATTACCCAGAATACATATATAAAAAAAGTCTCTAATATAAAGGATAGCAAAGCATTACCGTTGCTCCCTTTGTTGCTCATAAAATATCACAAAAATAGATGCAATATTATTTAACAATATAAAAAAATGGAGGCTTCAATAATAAATTATAATTTAACAGATGTATTAAATGTTCATAAATCAACCAATCATTTGTCATCTCCAAAATGAAAATTATCTTGTAAGATATTTATACTTTCTGTCTCATGCCTCACAAATTATGTCTGATTGTATCCTCCTACTTGTATCACTGTCTATCTCTTGCACCCTGCATTCAACTATTTCCATCAATTTGTTTTTTAAGATAGTTTTTGTCTATAATTTTGTCTGTAATATTTCACTTGTCATAAAAAAAAAAATATAAATATATATATATAAAACAACCCTCTTTTCATACCCAGCCTGTTCCAGAACTTCTGTACTTAACTTTTTTTTTCTGCATGAAATATGACACATTCTTCTGTATATCCACATCTTAATGGCCTCAGTTCATCTTTCTAACTGCTTGTTCATTGTCCATTTTTTTTTAACCATATAGTTCAGTTCAGTTAAACATAACACTTAGTACTGGCTGCCACTGAAATGATGAAAAAATATATGTAACTGGCTTCTTCTCCTTAACCTCCCTGGGCAATGATACATTTATACAAGGTTGTAGTTTTTTTTTCTTCTGGTCACCTTTATTATAGATGCCTGTACTGTTGCAGACTTTCTCTGAGGTTATCTTTCCACTCTGTTCTTGGTCTACCTAAAACTCTACATCCCTCTCCCTATTTTTGTATGTATGTGCCTTGAATGACATCACAAAGCATTCTCTCTTAGTGGGCAAATTTGTTGTCTTGATAAAACTGTACTGTTTCAAAAGCCAGTCTTTTCTCTTATGGTCTAATTCCAGATATCTGATCATTAAGGGGGCTGTGTGGTCTCGAGGCATGGTCAGAGTAAGGGCTGGGATTTTTTCATACGGGCCTTCAAGTAATTCCCTCCGGTCTATGGGTAGTGAGATCAGATGCCTGTGTGCATTGTTGTGCAGTTAAAAATAAACCTTGGCAGTTGGAAATCGAAAAGGGTAGACATACGGCACTGCCCGGACAAAATTTGGAGTTAAAAATTTACCCAAAGTATTTCAGGATCCTTGCTGGTGCTAGAGAGCCTGTGCACTGTGCTGAGCTTCTTCGGACTCAGACTTGAGTTAGAAGAAGAAGAACGGAGCACTTGTGGGTTACACATATGCCATGATGTTGATCTGTTGTTGAAAACCTCATATCTGATCACTACTGGTCTCTCACACAGCTGTTTCTCCACAGTTATGTAAGGGGTATTAAATCAAAATGCTAGTACCAATGACAGACAATCTGTACAAACCTCACATCCCATCAAATGGTTCAAACCATCCGTCCATAAGTCAAACTCATTCTCTGATGCTGCAATAAAACAGAAAGGATCTGCTTCCTGTTCAAATTTGAAGGAAAAGGCCAGCTTGGAATTTGCATTCTGAAATTATATACAAGTTTTGAATGTCAACAACGGCTGATATTAAGACTGTTTTCATATTACAAGTATAACAAAGATGTGGGGTTGACTTTTATACCACGCCTGTTATTAGTACCAGAAGGCTTCACAGAAAAATACCTGAGCGATGAAATAATCATGCCGCCAAATAATGAACAATTTACTTTCAAAGTGGCAATATACATGCTTGTAGTGACCAATGCGGGAAGCCATATTTCTCTGGTATATTCTGACCAAATAGTAAAAGCTATGAAGAGGAATAAGGGCGTAAATTCATTCACAAACCAGGGGTTGCCTGGGAAATAAAAGTGTTAAGGGATAGTAGGTGTATTCTTTCTCTCATCCCTCCAGACACACACAAGATTCAAACAGCTAAGGATACTTACATTTCTTCTTCCTCTGACAGTTACGTGTGGGCACATGGCTCCTGTCTGTAACTTCTCTATGTCTGTAATGAGTACTGCAGATAAACCAAAAGTTACAGTGAAATTTATTAATAATTGAAGTAATAAATCACTTAAAGACACTCTTTCATCTGACAGCATATTTATCCTGTTTTTTACATTTCCGATTACAAACGAATTATTAATGCGTACAAAGTGCATTTAGCAGACTATGTGTAGCAACCAAACGTGGGACGACTAAATGAGTGATCCATATCCAAGGATTAATTTTAAAAATATGCCATTCTTTTCTTATTTTGTAAAAATGTACAGTCCACACCATGATCAAACCAGAAATGTATGAACAAACAAACGAACAAACTTTATTTTCAAAGGGTTACAAATTGGGCAAGCAGGCCCGTCTGACATTCGGCCCTTCTAAATTATAGAATACTGCATACACACATCATGTGTACACTTGAGCCAGAGGTAGCTGTTCATGAACTAAACCAGAACTGCATCAGCCAGAGGCAGCTGTCCGTGAAGTGCCCCAGAAGTTCACGAGTTTGAGGCAAATTTTAAAAGTACACTTATTCGCAACAACAATTTCAAAATATGCCATGACGGCCTCTATACAGAATTTACTTTACTTTTCTAAATGCACAGAAGACTGGTGAATTCAGTTACAATGGGATGGATTAAGCTATATGTGAGTCATGCTTCAGAGAAGCTTCCAACCCCACTGACTGACTGACACACACACAAACTAATCCACCCACACAAATATCCTCCTTCTCCTACAGACAAACACATATTAGAAATCTGTTTCCAGATTTCACAGAAAAACATGTTACTTTCAAAAGTCAACACTTCCTGGGACTCATAACTTTGTTCTTTACTTTAACTTTTAAAAATACAATAAATTCACAAATAATTTCATATTTAAATGTAAATACAATCCCACAAAAAGGCATGAAGAGATGTGTATTTACAACCAGTTGTAATATCTTAGCATAGTGACTCTTAAAACAAACTATAAAGATTAATTAAAGATTTAAAAAAAAAAAGGAATTTAGAGATCAGGGCAGAACAGCATACATGCACATACCATTTTCAGACTAGGAAGAAAAGACTAAACACAGAGCACATGTTAACAGGCTGGGACTCGAGTAATTCTGCCACATTTGTATGTGGAGCACCAACACTTCAAAGCACATCTTACCAGGATGTTGTCAAAATGTTGCCAAACAGAGAATTAAAATCTGAACCACAGCATCCACCCTCATAGACAGACAGTGGGAGATCGATAAAGACTTCAAGTACACCATCTTGTTTGTGATTCATTACATAATACACACATATCAAACAAAGGTTGAGGAGAAAGAAGAAGGAGGTTTCACATACTTACTTTTATTGGGAAGCTGCTCCAAGATCAAGTTTTCTGACTCCCCACAGTCACCATAATGTAGGGCTTTGTAGTTTGGTGACAGCCGCCAAAACCAAAATTTATCTGCAAGTATTCAATATTTAAATTTCATGATGTACTCACATTCATATCTGATGTCAAATTCGAATATGTATTAAATTATATGCCCATATTTGATATATTCACATTGATAATTTGTGAAATATTCACACTGATATTTTGTGACATATTCACATTGATATTTTGTGATATATTCACACTGACATTTTGTGATATATTCAAATTGATATTTTGTGATATATTCACATCAAAATGAAGAGAATACTGCAGACGGTAGTGATCAGGGAATCTCGCTAACACTTAAAGAATCTCGTCAACAATCAGGGAATAGGCAGGATGCCCATACAATCAGACAGCCACTCTTGTACTACTGGAAATGGAACTCTGCATTGGCTGCTGAAAATGGGGACAGAGTGCATATGGCAATGTCCTGAGCGCTATGCTGTCAGTTCTTAACTCAACTCAACATCTCTAAATAAGTATTTTTCTCACATCTAACAGAGATTTTTTTCACTTTCATGTAAATTTAATCACTGAAGAAAGTTTAAATATATATAAAAACACTAGGTAACAGCTGAGATAATCAAACTCCTTGATTAACAATACACCAACACAGGTGTCTTCTACAGAAGAAAACGGCTAAATCATGTAGCGTGCAATATGCTGTACCATAAACTGTACAGGGCAGAGAATACAGTGCCAAACTGTCACTACTGTCTGTATATACAACTTTAGTTTAGGGCAGTGTAGACTTGGGGAGGGGTTCATGTGCACTCCCGTATAGGCGAGGATGTTGTGCATATACGTGTAATTGTACATGTATGTCTGTGTGTGTGTGTATGTGTGGGTGAGTATCGTGCATACCAGCCGCCTTCCCAACAACCCTCGCTAGGTACTAGAGTACCAGTCCAAGCCTCTAGTTTTGGTGCATTAACATTTCATAGCCGATATAAGTGGTACAAAGCCTTCAATTATAGCTGATACTGCTTGCAGCAATTATAGCTGAAACTGCTTGCAGCAATTATAGCTGATACTGCTTGCAGCAATTATAGCTGATACTGCTTGCAGCAATTATAGCTGATACTGCTTGCAGCAATTATAGCTGATACTGCTTGCAGCAACTATAGCTGAAACTGCTTGCAGCAACTATAGCTGATACTGCTTGCAGCAATTATAGCTGATACTGCTTGCAGCAATTATAGCTGATACTGCTTGCAGCAACTATAGCTGATACTGCTTGCAGCAATTATAGCTGATACTGCTTGCAGCAATTATAGCTGATACTGCTTGCAGCAATTATAGCTGATACTGCTTGCAGCAACTATAGCTGATACTGCTTGCAGCAATTATAGCTGATACTGCTTGCAGCAATTATAGCTGATACTGCTTGCAGCAATTATAGCTTCAATTATAGCAGTAGGTTCAACATGGTCATTTTTTTGTTTTCATAATTGGATGGATAGATGGGGGTCATGAGCTTGAGGATTTATGGCTACATGGCTAGTGCTGTTGCCATGGACTGTGAAGGTTAAGATGTTTAATTTTGCCAACTACAGAAAAACTCCATCACCTTACCTGGGTCGAACCCAGGTCCCCAGCATAAGAGCCCAAGGTTGCAACTGCTCAGCCAGCCACTCCTCTAGAGAGAATATGCTATCACCATATTTATTACAAATACTCTGTCTAAAAAAGTGAAAGAAAGTAAACAAATATACAAGGTGCTAACCTCTAATTCTGCCATTTCTTGCACTGTACTTGGCAAATCTGGTGCCAGCCATCAGATAGTTTAGTCTCTGCTGCCGGATTAAGTCCAGAATCTCTGGTTTGATCTGTTCACGAAGTTCTCTGGATTATAAAGGAGACAGGGCATATAAAATATATTGCTACTCTGATCTGTTGACAGCTTTCTGTGTTGCAGATGAAACAGTACCCATTAAATGCATTAGTGCTCTGTTGTTGATCTGCTGCAGACAAGAAAGCAATACTACTTTGATCTGCTCACGAAGCTTTTGTGTTGCAAACTAAATATTTATATTAAACACATTACTGCTCTGATCGGGAGTTGGTGTGGCATGGTGGCTAGACGCTTGCATGCGGATTGGAAGGTCGTGGGTTTGCTCCCTGGCGGAGCCGGACTTTTTTCAAAAATGACCTTGACTCTCAGGTAGACCCAGCCTTGATTGGGTACTGAGTGAAGTCTTGAGAAGCACAGGCGGCCGGCGTGATACTGACTACATCATGCATCTTGTTCCGATTGGTCTATAAAAATACAGATCCAACCCTATATGCCTTAAGGCGTGGAGAAGGGAACAAACTTTTTTATAACCTATAACTAAATACAACATGAATAAATTTCATCAGAAATATCCACTAGACATACCCAGTTTTCACTGACAGCTCAGGCAACATTTGTATAAATTGCAAAAGTGAAAAAAGTCTCACAGCAGGTATTTCAATAAAGACCAAAATGGGTTAAAGCCTTTTCTTCGTCTTAACTTTCACCGGCTGTAAACTGCGGAAGAAAGTTGAGGTTGTTCGCACATGTCTGGACTTTTATCTTGTTCAAGAACTTAAGTTCTGCAAGCACATGTGTTTTACAGATCTGGCTTATTTGTTTGCAGACAGTTCCATGCCTCTCAAGCAAATGCACACCAACTTTAAAGGAAACATCCCTAATTAATCACCTCCTGCAACATACATGTTAGGGGGCAGTGCGTCTATTCTCTGTTCCACCCAAATGGGACCCCAGAACCCACAAGGAAAAGTGGGTTGAGCGACGAAGTATTAACAGGCATCTGATCCATCATTCATTTCACTAAACAATAAATCGACAAAGTGTCATCCCCTTATTAGAGGTCGACAACTGAGGCTCCAAAACTCTCCATGCTGCATCTTCAAGGTGCATTTATATTAGCTTTTTCCAATCCATCTTTTGACGGCATCCACCCACATATAACATTGTCTTCTTCTTGCACTTTCCCTCCCTTTCCCAGTATATCACTGAATAATAAGGAGCTTGTATGTTTATACCAGCTAAGAATCGTAATGGTTATTGAATAATTAACTATAAAAATGGCATACATGATTGGCTTCAGTTGTGCACCCTGGCCTTCCTTGACGAGGCGCTCATTTTCCCACAGCCTGTTGATCTCAGCATAAGTGAGTGAGTTGATCTTGGATCTGAACACCTCAAATGATGTGGGAAGCTGGTCCAGGACTCTAACAATCTGCTCTCTCACCACGTCTAATACCTTCAATAATAAATCATTGACTTTCACAATATGTGCATGATATATTTTTCTGTAACAGGAACTATTGCAGATCCAATATTTTCTTTGCTTCATCTCTTGTACTCCAGTAAATACATCTATTATGGTAAGCTGAAATATTTTGGTCATATCAAGCGCCATGACGGACTGGAAAAAAATTATAGCAGAAGGCATGGTACCAGGAAGGAGGGGCATGGGCCGACCAACACGAAGATGGGCACAGGATATAGATGACTCCTTGAGTATAAAAGTACACGAGGCGGGAGAGCTGGCGAGAGACTGAGTTTCTTTCAGACAGACTGTGATGAGAGCGACGTTCTGCAAAGAACCTGCTACATGATGGTGATGACATCTATTATGAAATCTTAACCTCACTGTCCTGCCAAATCTGACCACATTTCTGAAGGGCCAATACTGCCCACTTTGGGACCTATTAGTTTAGAAGAATACTGTGCATCATGTTCAATGAGCTGATCACTTTCATAATATAAAGCATCACATGCAATATTGCAGTCATGTACACACACACAAACACAAAAATGACTACAGCCAATAACTGATAATATCTTCTTTTTCCATCTTCAGCGTTCAGAGACCTTGAGGTTCACTGCTAAAGATATCACGCACAACCATTCCTCTCTGTAACAGGCCTTCTATTAACAGTTGGTGTCTCCAAGTGTTTTAAGTGATAAGATCTGCTCCATTTAACCCTTTTATCTTGGTGACCTAGAAACAAAGCCAAGCTCTCGTACTTTCTATTTTTTCCACAAATTATTAGAATAACAACTATTTTACGAATTAGACAAAATCTATCATCAAACTACTAGTACTATTCAGAGTAAGAGCAGTGATCAACAAACATAAATCACAGAATCAACTGGGTCACTTCTCTTGGGGCCTGTAAGCTAATTATAGCATAACATTTACTTTACTTGTGGCCCAGTAACCGCTGTAGCTAATGAGAAAAATATGACAGGAATTTCTATAAATAAAACCTCTAAAAGCTGTTTCTCTAAAGTGAATTTAGTCATACCCGCACATGCTGAATGATTGTGCAGAACGCAGATGCAAATAATTATGTCTCATAAAGGATGTCTCTACTGTGTCATAGCCCTGTGGGGCAGAGTATAGACAATACGTCGTGTAACTACATGTTGGTGTTTGACGGACCAAAAATGTGCACCAGCGCTCAGCCAGTTGATTTGATGATACGGGAAAAACCCAAGATGCTTGAACAATGGTGCAACGTACACGTTTGAACCGGAGCTGAACGGAGAGGGAGGAGGAAAAAGGGACATGCGAGGATGAAGACATTTTGAGAGACGTGATTGTAACTTTTTGTTAGGAATTGACAGATAGGTTGTGTAGTGTTAACGCTGTCGTTGTATGTGTTGGTTAGCTGGTGTTATTCCTCATGTGCTGATAGTATGCTAAGACAGTTGTGTTGGGGTTGTACCATGTTTAGGTAGTTGTTCTTGTCCCTGGATTTTTGGGGGTTATCTTGTGCTGTCGTTGACATTGTCCGCTAATACTTGAACCACTCACCCTGCGTGTGCCACTGAGTCTCGCATGACGAAGATCGTAGCCTAGTTGACGCTGCACTACAGGAGGTGGAATAGTGTCCTTTGGTTCATCCGTGGGAATGGCCCGGGGTGGATAGGTAAATATAACTGCTGCCACTGCCCGGGAGTTTCGGATAAGGGGACTGTCCCAAACTGTAGAGGTTGTTTTAGGTTATGTTGTTCTTCGGTCATTAAAGATGATGTGTGTGCTTCATTTGTGTATGTGTTGAGTGTGTTTTGGTATAGTGTGTCTGTCACAGGGCCGTACAGCGAGCCCTAGTTCAGTAATATAGATATCAGGTCCTTGACATACTGCATCCCAATGTTGGACGCACATTTTTGTTGTTTTAAAGCCCCACCCTGGCTGTTGCCGGGGACACTAATTTAACCCAACCTATGGGTTGAACAAGGCTTCGGAGACCTCTCCCTGGGTGATCCTCATCCGCATGGTGGCACTTTGTGTCACCGGGTGTTTATCGCTTGGTTGATGTCCTGGTGGGGTTGAATCTCACTCCCCCTATCTCACAAACACGTCTCTATAGCGAGCTGGGTAAGCAGCTCTTTCAGGGAAATAGTACCAACCAGAAGTGTCCGTTTTGTGGTTTCTCAGGGGAAATGGTAAAAATGCTTCTAGTGATGGAGCAAAGACCTTCAGGCAGCTCACACCATGTACTCACACTGTTTAAATGTTATTTGGATTTTGGACTATCCTCCGAATAACGGCCACATATTATGGTGGCCAAAAATACACCCTGACAGGGCCTCAGTCACATGTAAATTGCGGACTTCCGGCGACTTAAATTGCAGACCGGCGACTATACCTCCACCGCCCAGAGTATCTCCCGCGCCGCTAAACGCAAGGCTAAACTAGATAACTGGGACTCACAAGCAGCAGCTTCCGCATCTCCTGCAGCTTTGCTCGTGAGGCCCAACAATATAGTTTAGCCCCACTCCATGCCGTGCGTAGTGGCGCGAGAGATACTCTCGGCGGTGGCGGTATAGTTGCCAGAAGTCTGCAATTTACATCTGACTGAGGCCCTGTTTTTGGCCGCCATAATATGTGGAGGAGGATAGCCAGATTTTACAGCTAAAGATAGCTCTAGGGTAGTCCAAAAAAATGCCAACAGTGCTCCATGCTATTATTAATTATTCTACTTTCATTTTTTCTAAAAAGAAAACACAACTTTTTTCTACCTTTTGGAAATCCTGAGCTGTGGCTTTCATCTCCCGCCAAGTTTTGTTAAGCAGCTGTATGCAAATGCAGAAAAATTCTTCAAATGGTTTGTCATGGGAGAAAAACATCTGATAAAATCTATCACCATCGTCGGAAGCTGTAAAGAAAATTAAAACACAGATTACACTTGTTTGCTTCTCTATCTGTCAATAGTATTCTCTGCATTTACTTCAGAAACAACATTTATGCGGCCATTCAATTTTTTTCTCAGCATGTCTGTCTGTCTTTTGTCCATGTTTTATTTAACAGTATTTATATGTATTGATTTTCCTCTTAACAATTACTTCAGTTGTTCTCCGTATTAAGACTAAAAATGTTTCTGTAATATTTAAATTCCAAAACCTGCAATATTCTGTTATGTCATTGTTTTGAGTGACATATAGTGCACCATAAAAATATGATCAATACTGTACTCACTTTTAGCCAAGCCCATTTTCACTGAGCTAAGTTACTGTGTAAATACCTCCTAATAACAAAATGGTTGACATATTCTGTTTCTGGGGACAGCTTTTTCTTAGTCTGCCCTCTAGTTTTGTTTACCCAGAGAGTAAACTGCTGCGATCAAAACATAGTGAACATAGCATGCCAGTCAAAGCTGTGATTTCTGTTAGGCGTCATCCTGTTCTGACACGCTATTCCCAAGGAAAACACAATGTATCCTCTATTTAAACAAACATAAAATAGCAGTCTGTGATAAGATGACACAACTATCCAAAAGAAATATGCAAGATCGCGAACACTAACACAGTAGAAGTATATATGCATATAATTTTAATATTTATTTTTGACATGAATTTTATGATTACTGGCTTTTTCTCTCACCTCGTGGTTCAATACTGAAATCCAGAAGACTGTGATTGTTAAATCACTAGGAGTTATTTAACAGATATAGATAATAATTCATAATAAATATAAGTGACCTACGATGCGATCAGTCTGAAAAAAATAAAATCCTTGGTTCTCCTTTAAAACTACGGCCACTTATTATGGAGTAAGAAGGAGTTCAGTCCCCTGGCCGCATTGCAATTACGGAGTGGACAAGAGGGAACGAAACAAATGACATACTTACTGTGTGTTGGCGATAGAAGCACTGCTGTCATAGTAGGGTTAGGATATTGGTACTTCTTAAAACTACAGCCACTCCTAACCCTACCCCTATTATGACAGCAGTGCATCTATCGCCACCACACAGCAATTACGTCATTTGTTTCGTTCCCTCTTTTCCACTCCGTAATTGCAATGCGGCCAGGGGACTGAACTCCGGCGTACTCCATAATATGTGGCTGTGGTTTTAAGGAGAACCAAATCCTTTAACATTTCATGCAGGTGTACTGAGGGTATGGTGTTTTGCTCCTACTTTTGGTGGCTCAATGACACAAAAGAGTATCTTCTTCTTCTTCTTATCTTACACCCGGTGTAAACTCTGGTGGAAAGTTGTTTGAACACTTCTGAACTTTGAGTTTTGCATGCACATCTATCTGTTTAACAGATAAGGCTTACATGTATAGAGATTTTTGGTTCCTCACCTCTTTAACAGATGGTGCCATCGGAACTGGAACTCTTCGTTTGCTGCTGAAGATGGGTACAGAGCGCTAATGGGGGTGTCGTGAGTGCTATGATGTCAATTCCTAATTCAACAACATTCAAGCAGGTGCACTTTGACTTCTAAGGAAACACCCATATTAAGCCATATTATTTTTATTTTCATGACATGCCTGTTGGGGGAGGTGGGGAGGGGGGAGGGCGGGGGGGAGGCTAAGATTTAGGTTTACAAAAATGGCCTGGCCCACAAATGACTCTCTTCAACAAGAGATAGAAACTGACACAAATAAACAGAATGTCTATACACACTCAAATACTTCATTAGCAAAAGCTCATCATTGTAAAATAATTCATGTTTATGTTTCGGCTACAAACAGTTTAAACATGCTAATTTTTGAAGCCTAGTTACTTTTTAATCTTCAGATCTGGCAACATTTTTCATAACCCATTTGAATCAAAGGTGTTGAAGTTAAAAAATATAGATTCACTCATGACTTACACTAGAAGGTAAACTGAAATGTGAGGGAGTTGCTGAACAGATAATCAGAATACTCAACAAACAGAAGTAAATGCTGCTAATACAAACACTCATATTGCAGTGATTATAAACACATCACAAAAAGTCTAACAAACAGATGCTATTGATTTTATGTTGAATTTACAAATGATGCTGTACTGAGTTGTTGAACTTACGTGGTTCTCCTATCTTTAGAACATCACATAAAATCTTGGTGAGCATCTTACTAGCTTGAACAAAAGGACAGTCATGCTCATCTGCTCTGGTGGAATTCTCTAGAACTACCTAGAAATTGATTAATGTAATGAATATAAACAATTCAACAATAGCTAAAGGTATAAGTCACTACTATTTGATTCTGTGCCTCTCTCGTTCTCACACACAATTCTGCATGGCTGATTTCTAAGCATAATTTCTCTTTACGCAAAACAAACCTCCTTTCAGAACTTATGAACTCGCCCGCACAACGAGAGTTCCTTCCCCTCCAATTCATGCCAAGACTGGTCGCACAACCTGTCCTACGTTGTAGGGGTGTTATGAGATGGCTTCGTTCTATGTTTATGGGAGACTGTGTTGTCGTACTGCCGGGAGGGGGGGGGGGGGGGGGGTAGTGGGGGGGGGGGGGGGGGGGGGGGGGGGGGGGGGGGGGGGGGGGGGGGGGGGGGGGGGGGGGGGGGGGGGGGGGGGGGGGGGGGGGGGGGGGGGGGGGGGGGTGGGGGGGGGGGGGGGGGGGGGGGGGGGGGGGGGGGGGGGGGGGGGGGGGGGGGGGGGGGGGGGGGGGGGTGGGGGGGGGGGGGGGGGGGGGGGGGGGGGGGGGGGGGGGGGGGGGGGGGGGGGGGGGGGGGGGGGGGGGGGGGGGGGGGGGGGGGGGGGGGGGGGGGGGGGGGGGGGGGGGGGGGGGGGGGGGGGGGGGGGGGGGGGGGGGGGGGGGGGGGGGGGGGGGGGGGGGGGGGGGGGGGGGGGGGGGGGGGGGGAGAGAAGCACCGGAGGCACGATTGCTTATGAGTTTCAAAACTGGGATGTTTTTTTAATCTCACCCCCCCCCCCCCCCCCCCCCCACGTAAAAAAAAGAAGCCACTGACAAGGAACGTAGAAACACAAAAACATCCCAGTTTTGATACTCATGAAATGTCAGGAAAGTAGCACAACATGGAAATAATCATGTAAGTGAGCAGTGACAACACAGGAAAAGAGAGAGCGGTTAAATCGCTGAAAATAAGGAATACATACACCCCCACAACATAGGACAGGCCATGGGACTAGCCACAACATGAGTGGAAAGGGAAAGAACTGTCACGTGCGGGCAGGTTTGTGATAAGAACCCTCTTTTGAACTGAAATTATGTTTCCTATGTTGGTACCTGGGCCATAAGAAACGCCCCCTCCCCACCTCCCCCTTCCAACAAGCATACAAAATGTGACTGATTATGAGCCTGTTGAAACTGGATATAAGGCACAGATATTGCAACCTAGCTGTAAACCACAAAGAAAATACGTTAAACACCCTTTGCAGAACAAGAAAAAAGACATAAATATAAATGTATTTTACCTTTTAAATTTTACCTTAGCTTACAGGTCGACCCACTGAGTGTCAATTGATTTTAAAAAAGAAAATATGTGGGCAGAACTGCATAGCTATCGAAGCCATAGCAAAGCAGCTAGACGCTTGCCGCGGATTGGAAGGTTGTGGGATTGCTCCCTGGCGGAGCAGGACTTTTTTCAAAAATGACCTTGGCTCCCAGGTCAACCCAGCCTTGAGTGGGTGCTGAGCGCAGTCCTGGGAAGTAAAGATGGCCAGCATAATGTTGACCACATCACCCATCTTGTGCTAATTGGTCTAAAAAGTATAGGTTTAGCCCTATATTTTACTGTATTCTGCATAGCCGATATACCATACCTTGGGATACACGAAACCCAATTACACATAAGCAAGATAATTTACACCTAAGTTAATGTGTATCGAATCTGTACTGAAGTGAAAATATATATCAACACAGGAATTGTTAGCAAATATATATATATATATTCAATTAAATAGAGATTCGATACTCAACAAAACTAAAACAGGTAAAGGAACAGACCTTTTTCATGCCAGTGGCACATCAGGTACAAGAGGCTAGACACATTTTTACAGACAATCTGGCGATGTGGTCAACTTCATACTGGCCACCAATACTTTAACCGTGCATAGAAATATTCTATAAAAGTATTTTTTTTTACATTTCATATTATTTCAAATAAATGTTTATATTGTTTACACGCTGTTATTATTATTATGCTGTTAAATTAGGACTAGGCCCATTGAGGCCCTCTTTCAAATATTTTCTCTATGTCGTAAGGCCTTTGGCTGGCACAGCTTACCAGTCGCACTGTTGTGATAGGTTTGAGTTCTCTCTCTCTCCCTAAGTCGCTGTACCCCACCAGGACATTACCTGGTACCCACTTTAGGCTGGTTCTGGGAGCCACTACACTACTGCAGCTACCTAATTACACATAACAAGTGCGATGAATCAGCGACCTACTACCTGCTTGTTGTTAGGTTCAAAAAGAGGCATCCCTATGGCGTCATCATCATCATGTGCCCTGCCAACTGGCAAAGGTGCTCATGCGTCTCCACAGATCACAATCCCTGGTTGCCTGGAACCGCTCTCTTGAAGATATCCCTCCATGCCACCGTTTCAGCCCATCCAGCATCATCTCTCTTGGTCTGCCTCTACCCCTTTTTTTCACAGATCTTTCCAGCAGTCATGATGTTTTCCAATGCCTCTCTTCTCATTATGTGGCCAAAGAATAGTGTCTCTTATCCCAACGGCGCAGTGGTTAAATCATTTGTCTTGCCTTCTGAAGATCAAGGCTGTGGTCAGTGTTCTTCTGTGAGTGCAGGAGTTTTGGAGATCCATGCCGGTGTTGCTGGAGTTACAGAGCTGTGTGCTTTTGGGGCGCTCTTTACAGACGACCTACTGCTTTGCAGAGAGAGGCCAAGTGATTTGGGATACAACCATATGCAATTAAATCTTCTTCTTCTTCTTTTTCGTGTTCAGCAGCTGTAAACTCTGGCAGAAAGTTCTGGTTGTTCATCCACTTCTGGACTGCAGTTCTGTTTCCAGAACCTGAGTGTTGGATGTGCATCCGTTTTACTGATCTGACTCATTTGTATGCAGACTGTTGGTTCCTTGCCTCTCAGGCCGATGCACTCTGACTTGGAAAGAAGCTTCCAATTAGTCGAATCTTACGACATGCTTTTGGGTAGGCAGTGAGTCTATTCTTGTGGTTTTTTAAATATTTTTTGTTGGATAAAAGAATGACTAAAATGTTAATGAAAAGTGAAATGAAGAAACACATAAAAGATCAAAATGGACCCAAACCTTTACGTAGCTCTCGCCATGGTTCCGAGCAAAATAGAGCATCATATCTAAGGCCAATACGCCTGGCGGTGCTTTTGCAAAATCTTCAATGGGAGAGTTAGCATTCTGGGGATGCATATGTAAATATTTTAGCATAGCATTTTTTTTTCCCTGCAGTATAAACTTTACGAACACTGTTCTTTGGTCATGTTATGAGAAGAAAGACATTAGAGAACATCACAACAACTGGAAAGATCAGTGAAAAAAAAAGGGTGGAGGCAGACCAAGAGAGATGATGCTGGATGGGCTGAAACAATGGCATGGAGGGATATCATCAAGAGAGGGATCGTGATCTGTGGATATGCATGAGTGGATATGCATGAGCGCCTACGCCAGTCGGCAAGGCATGTGATGATGATGATAAACTTTATAACTGGCTTCATAATTTTCAAGCTTCTCTTAACTTGTAAATCTGAGAGTTTTATTGTTGATTCTTCTAAATGTGGTTTCACAGAAGAATGCTGAAAATATCTTGACTAAATTAAGATGACTTAATGTTTTGAAGGAACAAATGAAGTGGTTTGGACACTTAACAAGAATGCCCTGGTACTATCTCCAACAGCAAGCCACACTAAAACGTTACAATGGGTATTGAGCAAGGGGAAGACCTCGGAAAAGATGAAGTGATGGCATACAGAACTGCTTCACAGAAATTAACATCAATCGTAATAGTGCTCTTGACAGAGTTCATCAATGAGCATTACCTCACAAATCCCCCCCCCCCCCCCCCCCCCCCCGACACTTAACTGAGGTACAAGGTGGAAGAGAAGAAGAAAAAGAATTTTCTGATAGAGTATAAGACACAAAGATAATTTATCATAAAAATCACAGAGCTTCCGAATAACTTCTCAGCAATCAGCTCTGTCCATGATATTTTCAGTAATGTTAGTTGTGTATCATTTACAGGATGTTACCGAACCAGCCCCAGCAATGATTTGTGTCTGTTGTAGTTTTCTAGGCAAATGTTACATTCAGTAGTTTGCCATTGCTTCCTGAATGGTCAACTCTTGGTACTACTGTCAAAACCAACACAAGACATATCGTCTGCGTTCGCAATGCCTAAGCCAGAGACGCAGACACATTCAGTAATACCAATGTAAAAATGTCCAAGCCACTGACCTCAAATCCAAGTTTCTTGTAATCCTTGGGTGCATTCTGGGACTTTCGTACTGTGTTGATATTTGGGTCTCCATCAACATCAAAGGCAATACGGCGCAGCTCTTCAATTTCCCTCACAATAACCTAGCATACGTTAAATAAAATAGGAATCAAATATTTAATATATCACCCCAATAATATGTAAAATATAAGACGCCAGGAAAGTATTAGTGAACAAAATATAAGTGAAGATGACTAAATATCACAAGCGATTATCTATAACATGGGAGCCGCCATGGTGTAACGGCTAGACACTTGCCTACGGATCTCAAGGTTAGGGGTTTGGGCCCTGATGGAGCTTGACTTTAAAAAAAAAAAATTACCTTGGTCAACTCAGCCTTAAATATTTTCCAGGTTAAGTCCTAGAAAGTCAAGGAAGCGGGTGTTACGCTGACCACATCATCCACTGACTGCTAAAATATAGATTTAACCCTACATGCCCAATTTGCCTAAAGCCATGGGAAAGGGTTCTTTATTTTTACTTTACATTATAAACTACACAGTGAGATTTATTTATGTCAGTTTAAAAAGCAAAATATATTTCATCCCTTACCAGGTCCTTTACAGAAGGTCACTGTCTTACAAAATACATTACATCACTCACAGGTCCTTTACAGAAGGTCACTCTCTTACAAAATACATTACATCACTCACCAGGTCCTTTACAGAAGGTTACTCTTTTACAAAATACAATTCATCACTCACCAGGTCCTTTACAGAAGGTCACTCTCTTCAAAGCAAACTTAAAAGTCTCTCTTTCTCTAGCCAATTATCCAGCCTTATGCACTTTCATAGTCAAGGTCTTGTATTCACCTTCGGGAAGGTCAGATCTTCCAGAAACTGCACCTTCCATCACCGTCCTCGCCAGGCCACCACGACGTTTAACATGTCTAAAACACCTCAGCTTTCAGGACAGGATGCTGTTTATGAGCCAATTCTTCTGGATGTTCAGATCATCTAGGAAGCCAAGTGTTTTTCTTCTTAGGCCACAGTAATTTTCGAATTTTCTTTACATAGTCAGAATACTTGATCTGTTGTCTGGTGATAAAGTTCAATATTGGTTCTGTACCAGCTCTCCTGATATCGTTCCTAATTTGATCTCTCCTTCTTACAACTAGCACAGTACATAAACATTTCTTTTTTGTTTTGCTTCTGTCTTCTGAAGACGGTGTCCATGTTTGATGCTGACAGAATAGCATTGGCAATCATAAAATGTTTCAGCTGTAAAAGCCAACCAACCATGCACACATTCTAAAAAGGCTTGCCCTAAGGCGGCTGAGCGCTTACGGTACGCTAGAGTAAACAAGACATAAAAGGAAGACAAAAAACGACAAAGAAGCAAATAAATAAAATTACCAAACAGTTACTTACTGGATCATGAATATCAACTCCTTTTCTCATCCGCTCCTCGTTGAGATTCAGCAGTAATGTTTGGAGAACATAGAGCTCATGAGCCATGCCGGCGCCAACATTCTGCCCTCTTATAACGTTCTAGAGATTTCAACAATGACAGTAAAATCACAAAAATAGAGATCATCTGGCAAACAAATTGTTCAAAACAATGTTTTTCCATAATTAATTTAAATAATGTGGATACAAATATATTTCAGTTTAATTTCTTCAGTTTTGTGCTTTATTTTATGTTGATGTAACTCTGTAGTAACGCACCTGATGAGATACAGCGAAATTTGCCTGGCAATAAATTGTGCAATGTATTGTTTGTACCCGCATTATTTAAAACAAATTGTTATTTTTATATAAACTGTGATTTTTTTTTTATCTCCATGGTACTCCCAGAGAGGGCACTTTGGACCAGGGTTTTATACTTCTGTTGTCACACAAACATATTTAGGGTCGTTAAAAAAAAGATCCAGCAAATTTTTTATTTATAAGGTGACAATAAACTTTCTCCACATTCTCTGGGTATGTCATGACAAGAAGATAACTGGAGTGTTTAGTAACAAATAAAGCTGCATATCGGCGACCAGGCCACCTATTGGCTGGCTGGTAGACGACTTTGTCGCCAGTTGGGACAGTGTAATGATGTTATAAATAGGGATAATGTCAGGGGATGATTGGCATAACTGGGGAAGCCCCTGAGAGCATGGGTTTCACTGAGATATGGTGAAACGACAGGAAAGAGTGAGTCACGTGTGAATGGTGAGATCTGGGGGATTGAGAATCAGGCGGTCATTCGGTGACTGGGCCCCAGAGAGAAAGGATGGAAAATGAAGCTGTGAAGATGAATGGAGAATGACTAGAGCATGTGGATCTGAATCGGCGAGGAATGAATGATCGAGAAGGCCAGCTGTGATGGTACCCTGTTTGATTGTCAAAGCCAGCTGTGAATATGTCAACGTCTATTGTCCGAATGCTGTAAGTGGATTTACCTGTGATTTGTGTATTGAGCTAACGTGTAAATAAACTCGTGAAATGTGCCGCTGGTGTTAACCGTTGTTAGACGTTGTGTGACCATGAAGAGGATCATGTCTGCTTTGATTGAGTTGTGAACCTCTAGACATCAGAGCCAGTGTTAACTCTGCACCACAGATAGTCAGTGTGGAGGAGACACAAAAGGGCAGTCATTACATTGGGGACCCGTCCTAAGTGCGAATACATTGTAAGTTATAAGTATGAGTTACAGTGCAGGCTTGTTCTAACTATGCCAGTACATTAGACGTAGTGTTTTTGTGGACAGAAGTAAAATTTAGGCAAATACCGGCAGCCGTAAGTTTTGAGTGACTATGTGTGTTGGAAGATGGAGTTTAAAGAAATGTCGGGGTATTTTGTAAGACCAGGACATGCTGTCAAGGGCATTAAGTAAAACCGGGACAACTGAATTCCAGACTCTAGTCATTCTGAAACAAACAAGCTAGCCTGAGAAAAATTGGCAGAAACACGGCGAAACAATTCTGGGTAATGTATTCACTTCACGTGTGAAAAAATTGCACAAGTTTCATCCCGAGACGTGGGAACGCTTGTTCATCGCTGGAAGAGACTGTGTAAGCTGAACTTTTGACCCTTGTGGTGGGTAATCCACGACGGAAAATTGTATGCAGCAGTATCCCTGTGATCGTTGTTTAACGTGGGTTTTGTTCGTCAAACAAGAGGTCAAAAACCAGAGATACTAATTTCGGACTAGATTTCACCGCAAGAACACTGCATTGCCAGGGGCCGAGACGGCACTCAGTTACAGCGAGCAAGGTCATCAACAACGGTCAAGAACAACACAGTAGCAGATAAAACGTCATCAGCGACAGCTAACTCGAGGCAACCGTACAGCACACCGTCCACAAGTGAATGCCTCAGGTCAAGAATACTTGTCAATAAAAAAGAACGGGGTCCAGTCAGCACCAGAAGTAGTACTTTTACTACTAAATGTTTGTAATACGTCCGTATAGGTGAGTTCAAGTGTGTATTGTGTAGGCAAGGAAGGAGTGGTGTTTATCAACATTAAGTACGTCACGAATGGTTTACAATTGATAATGGATAGACAGTAAAAACAGTGATTAATGTGATAGACTATGACTATTCAGGTTGTAGAGTAGAACTACATACATTCTCTGTAAGAAAAGTATTTCAGTGAGAATCTAACATTTATCAACAGTTTGTGGTGACTATTAAAGTGAAATTAATATGCGCTAACTGTGAACATTTAGTGATCTGTGCCAACTGATCAACTTCAGTGTAGATTGTTAAACTACATGGTATAAAGACTTTTGGACATATTTGAATTATTGAATGAGCATAAACTAATGGTAGTCTTTTAAGATCATTTACAGACTTAGACCACGACACAAGACAAGAGCAGTGTCCTACAAAGATCAGAAGAGCGTGTCCAGAGACAGTAAAGACATGCAGTGGAGCATCAAGGGCCACAAACCTAATCCAGTCCATTCCAACAGCAGAAGAGCAAGGAAGCCATCACCAGGACCAAGGAAAAAGAATCAACTCATTACATTGTTACATGCTTTCTTTGTTCTATCTTCAGGTTCTTTGATTGTGATATTCTATTATTCTATTTAAGTAAAATAGATAATATTTTTTTTATTTATTAGTTGAGTATAAAAATTAGTTAGGGGATATAATTAAATTTAAACTTTCAATTATTTAGTTAAAGAAGGGTATAAAATAAATAATACGGGATTTATCTTAAATTTAAACAGTTTCAAAAGTAATAAGTTACAATAATCAGTTTAAAATGGCAAACCTAGCAGAATACATACATCTGGGAAAACAGTTAGGGTTATCAGGAGAGGAGTTAAGAAAATTTTGTGAAGGAAGAGAACAGGAAGATAAAGAAGCACAAAGGGTCCAACAACAATTGGATCGAGAAGAAAAAGCCGCAGCACGCGCCCACGAGGCAGCACTGAGAGATAAACAGTTACAAGAGGCAGCAATGAAAGATAAGCAATTACAACAAGAAGCAGAACTGAGAGAAAAACAATTACAACAAGAAGTAGAACTGAGAGAAAAACAATTACAACAAGAAGTAGAACTGAGAGAAAAACAATTACAACAAGAAGCAGAACTGAGAGAAAAACAATTACAACAAGAAGCAGAACTGAGAGAAAAACAATTACAACAAGAAGTAGAACTGAGAGAAAAACAATTACAACAAGAAGTAGAACTGAGAGAAAAACAATTACAACAAGAAGCAGAACTGAGAGAAAAACAATTACAACAAGAAGTAGAACTGAGAGAAAAACAATTACAACAAGAAGTAGAACTGAGAGAAAAACAATTACAACAAGAAGCAGAACTGAGAGAAAAACAATTACAACAAGAAGTAGAACTGAGAGAAAAACAATTACAACAAGAAGTAGAACTGAGAGAAAAACAATTACAACAAGAAGCAGAACTGAGAGAAAAACAATTACAACAAGAAGTAGAACTGAGAGAAAAACAATTACAACAAGAAGCAGCACTGAGAGAAAAACAATTACAGCAAGAAGCAGCACTGAAAGATAAACAGTTACAACATGAAGCAGCAATGAAACAACAGCAATTAGACCATGAGAAAGAAATCAAACTGCAAGAGTTAAAACTTGAACAACAGCGGTTGACAGCACAAATAGAGGCAGACAGACAAAAGGTTGAAGCACAGATAAGAACAAAAGAAATGGATAATGAATCCAAAGCAGAACTGGCAGCACAAAGGGAAAGAGCTAAAGAAGAAGAACATAAATTTACAAAATACAAAGGATTAATAAAGAATTTTGGTGAAAAGGATGACATTGGATCATGGATTTCAGCATTTTTACTACTAGTTCGGTTTCATAAAATTCCAAAAGAAGATTGGGCAATACTGTTCCAAAGACACCTTGAAGGAGAACCGTTAAAAATATTGGAGACAGTGCCAGAAAATTTACGACTTGATTTTGATTATATTAAAGACCGGATAATGAGGCACTATGACCTACAGGAAGCAGGATACAGATTGCAATTTATTGATTTAAAACCAAAGTCAACTCAAACATTTGTTGATTATATGTCCGAAGTTCAGACAACTTTTCAGAAATGGGTGGATTCAGCCAAAATTAACAACGACTATGATCTGTTAGTTGATTTACTATTAAGAAGTAAATTGCTAGAATCATTACCAAAACCTATGACCACATTTCTGAAGGAACACAAACCTACTTCGTTAAAACATCTTGAACAACTAGGAGAAAATTATTATGCAGCACATCGTGATATTTTTCTCATACCACAAAACACTGATATATACTCAGGAGCCAGTGCCGAAGGACAAAAGTCATATGAAACAGGATATAATAGATCAGCATATCCGTCCAGAAGAAGATTTAATGGAGGAAGGAAAATAACAATAATAGATTGTGACATATGCAAAAAAAGGCATGGTAATGAAACCATATGTGATACCAATCAATTGTATGAACAAGAAGTCAGAAAGAAAATTGAAAACAGGAGGAAAAAGGTAAAGAGATATGATAGTACAAGTAAATGCTGGGCTTGTGGATTCTACGGGCAGACGCGTCAATTTTGCAAATATAAAAAAGAATTTAAAGCAGCAGCAGTATGTGAAACATCAGACTCCGAGTCAGGAAGTGATATATCAGAAACAAATGCAGCAGTGCTACTAGAAGAAGATAAATGCACAATATGTGAAACGTTTCAAGAATATGGAGACTTACCGTGTGGACATAAGATACCGGTGCATAATGCAAATTCTGTGAAAGACTGTGGGAAATTAAACCTACATAAAGGAATGGTTGGTAATCGAATCGTGTCAATTTTGAGGGACACAGGATCGACGATCTCAGGTATTCACAAGTCATTAGTGAAACCAGAGGATATGACTGATAAAGTGGTTAGATGCAGAACATTCGGACGTAGAATAGAAAAATTCAGAATAGCATCAGTATGGGTCAAAACGCCATATACCACTAAGAAGATGGACATGGCTGTATTAAGTTCACCGTGTGCAGAACTTATCATTGGTAACCAACCAGGGCTGAAAGAGATGACAGATCATGAAATAAAACAGTGGGAGAAAGAAAACATACCTGAGATGACAGAAGAGGTGATGCTAACCATGCAGAGACAAGAGACAAATGCGGTCATGGAAGAGAAAAATGACAGTGTAAATCTGCAGGAAATAGAAAATGTAGCAGCAGTCACAATGAGTGTAACAAAAAATCAACAAACTCAAGAGCACTCCGTAAACATGCACAAAGAACAAATACCAGTAACTACAGAAGATAAAAACAGATTTTTTCCAAGTCTATCAACAAACTACAAAAAACAAGTAAACTTAATAATGCAGTGGCTAGTAACATTAATTGTGACAGTGTTGATGTTAAGTGTTAATTGTTGTGTTAAATATGTTAGGAAAGTTGCAATATTAAAGTATCAGTTATTCACAATGCAATTGAACAGGAAGCCAACAAAATTAAACTGTGATCAGGGAAAAATAATAAAAAATAAGTTTCGAGCAAGAGGCATTAAATATTGTGATCAGTTTAAAAAGAAAAGAAAAATGATAGAATTTCCTAATTAGAAAAGAATTTAGTCATTACAGGTAAAATTGCAGAACATAAATGCTAATGACAACGCTAGTTTACCATTAGACATTAATACAAAAGTTTAAATTTGATATTAGGCATGTTAAAGGTGTTAAATACTATATTCCAAATATTATGTCTAGGTTATAAAGATAGTAAGCAGAAATAGTCACAAGGGGAGTTAAATAGAAAAGGGAGATAATTATAGGTAACAAGTAAACAGAAATAATCACAAGGGGATTTAAATAGAAAAGGGAGATAATTATAGGTAACAGTCTAACATTACTAACGAATGTTTAATAAACGTGTTGTTACTAACAATTAATATTCAAATAAAATAAACGTTGTATGATGTGATGATATGAAAGTTATGATGTGAAAGTGATAATGAGGAATGGTGTATGAATTAAAAATAAAACTGAAAGATGGTGTATGAGTTTATAAAAAACCAACAGACACATTAGGTTATAATAGAAATTTTATTAACAGGCAATTACAGATGTTTCATTGAAACATAGAAATTTGGAAATATCTATGATATAGTGTACAAACAGAAAATAAAATTGCCACAATGATAAAATGAGAAAATTCTGGCAAAGTTTTGGTATAAACCATGGTGAATGGAGAAGACCAACAAGGAGTAGCAATCACTTTGAATGAACTGTCAACAGGAACTTGGTTCTATGGGGGACATACAGAACTGTGTGATTTATAAGTCTGGTTTTGGAGCCATTTTTGGACTTCCGCGTTGAGGAACGCTTTGGGGTGTTGTTCAGTCTTCTTTAGGTAGACTGACTTCAGGACTTGATAAGTACGTCACAGAGCCTATAAGGTCCTCCGCGTTGTTTGAGGAACGCTTTGGGGAGGTGATTCTGTTAGCATATTGCCAAGAACTGTCAGGGGGAGTGAAAAGAGATGCTGCATATGTTGTACAAGTCAGAGAATCGATGGTAGAATTCCAACCAACAGTAAAAAAAAAATATTAGTAAAATAAGGCATATATATTCTTTTATGGAAATTTATATAGGTTTATTGAAAAAAAAATATTGCATATTTTTTTTTGTTTAAGGGGAGGAGAGATGTAATGATGTTATAAATAGGGATAATGTCAGGGGATGATTGGCATAACTGGGGAAGCCCCTGAGAGCATGGGTTTCACGGAGATATGGTGAAACGACAGGAAAGAGTGAGTCACGTGTGAATGGTGAGATCTGGGGGATTGAGAATCAGGCGGTCATTCGGTGACTGGGCCCCAGAGAGAAAGGATGGAAAATGAAGCTGTGAAGATGAATGGAGAATGACTAGAGCATGTGGATCTGAATCGGCGAGGAATGAATGATCGAGAAGGCCAGCTGTGAATATGTCAACGTCTATTGTCCGAATGCTGTAAGTGGATTCACCTGTGATTTGTGTATTGAGCTAACGTGTAAATAAACTCGTGAAATGTGCCGCTGGTGTTAACCGTTGTTAGACGTTGTGTGACCATGAAGAGGATCATGTCTGCTTTGATTGAGTTGTGAACCTCTAGACATCAGAGCCAGTGTTAACTCTGCACCACAGATAGTCAGTGTGGAGGAGACACAAAAGGGCAGTCATTACAGACAGTATTTGGATTATGTTTCCTTAGATTGCAACAACACTGTAAGAGTTCTTTTCAGAGCAATGTGGTGAGCAATGCAAAGCAAATGATATGGCGCACATAACCTAGTCACAATTATAACCTAAGCTCCCCCTTTGGGGATGCTGGTTGAACTTGACCATTTTTTTCACAAAGCCAAGACAAGAAAGCTGAAGGGGAAGAGAGGCAGTGGATATTAAAAGAGAACACCAGATAGTTTGGCATCATGGTATGACACCTGCACCATGAATAACTGAAAGTACACAACACAAGAGGCTGCAAACATGCATGATGATAAATGCAACATGGCAACGACTATAAGAAAAAAATAAACTGAATTCTCTTACCTTTTTGTATTTTATTAGTTTTGTTTTTAAGCAGTATTAACATTGCTGACATGAATTATTCAATACTACTCTAGTAACTAAACTGGTGTGAATTCCAAAGGGGAACAAATAATAGTTGAACAACACAACAGTCTACCAAAAAGTATAGTTAGACAAGACAAACAAAAAGCTTTGGCAGAGGGCAACCTGCACTATCAGTAACAAACTCAACTAACCACTAACAGATAGTTCAGAACAGATAGTAACTGTGGTATAAAATAATGGTGAAAGACAGCAACCCTGCTTTTGACAAACCTCGTCTTTGCATCACATTTTGGAATTTTTATTTGTAAGCAGTCTGTACTTAAAAATGCTAAGTTTCAGTTTCGGGAATATTTACAAAAGGGTCACCCTAACTGGTCATGATCACACCTGCTCATTAGGAGTCACCCTGGCAGAGCGGCTAGATGCATGCCGATGTTGGAAGGTCGTGGGTTCGCTCCCTGGCGGAGCCGGACTTTTCTTAAAAAATGACCTTGGCTCCCAGGTCGACCCAGCCTTGAGTGGGTACCGGGTGCAGTCCCGGTAAGTAGAGGCAGCCAGCGTGATGCTGACCACATCACATATGCCCTATACGTCTAAAAGTTAAAGTAGATGTGGGTGAGGAGGATAGGACCATTTACACAACTTCTTGAGCTAAACCATGTGAAGTGCTGCTTAGCTCAATCCTTCTGCCTTCCTGGTTTAGCAGATCTACTTTCACCCAGAATGTTTGTTTCTGGGTTCAAATGATTTAAATCTGTTTTCTGCCTTCTCATCATAGTCTAACATCAAAGAAATGATTTCTTCTTCTTCTTCACATTCACGGGTTGTAAATTTCAGTGGAAAGTTCTGAGTGTTGGCCCCCCTTTGGACTTGAGTCTTGCTCTAGATCTTGAGTTCTGTGTGCACATCCGTTTCTCAGATCTGGCAGACTGTTGGTTCCTCGACTCTCAGGCTGATGCACTCCAACTTTGAAGGAAACAGCACTAATAAGGCAACTTTATTACATGCTTGTAAGAGTCTATTCCCCTCCCCCCCCCCCCCCCCCCCCCCCAGGGGCCACAGAACCTGCACGTGGAAAGTTTCATTTAAATAGGTACTCAACTTGCCCTAAAGTGAGCTGCTTTGTTTAATATGTTTTTGTTTTTTAAAACTGAACCTGTGTTTGTAAATTTACATAGTGTGGAAAGGTGTTAGACTTAGTCTTTTGGCTGGCTTGTGCAGTCACTATTTTTGGTGGTCTTTCATGATTTCTGAGGCATTGGACTTGATTTGTAAGTGAATCCCCTGGTTGAGGACACAGTAAGGCAAAGCTGTTTAACTGGCACCAAACAGGCCAAATCTCACAGAGGTTTTACTTACACAAGTGAACTGGACCTGTAACACTCCCCTAAAAGCAAGTCTTAAAAGTCGACCATATAGAAGTGTTTAGTGTCAAGTGCATTTGAGAGGCAAGGAACCAACAGTCTGTTTACAAACAGACCGGATATGTCAAACGGATGAGCAAAGAAAACTCAAGTTCTGGAATGAGACCAAAGTCCAGAAGTGGACAAACAACCAGAACTTTCCACCAGAGAACATAAAGAAGAAGAAGAAGTAGAAGTATTATTGTGAGGGACCACACCAAGTGACAAAAATAATCAAAGAATTGCACCAGAAAAAATAAATCTACTTACACTGAGGATGATGTTTCTCATGCTTTTTGACTGAAGACTTTCAGCAATTTTCTGTGTTGGGCAAGAAAAAATGTATACTGATTGTTATATCCTCTTTAGTCTTTTTATAGTTTTAGCTTTTTTTCTCATAAATAAATTTTATTCCAGCTGGGAAAGAACTTGTAACTAGAACTGAAATAAACACTCTGCATCAAAAACATTCTTTTCTTCTTTCCTTTCATCAATATGTGCAGAAAAATCAAACTTCTAGCCCACAAGTAAGATTTCATAGCCCCCTTCTCATTCAGCCTGTACTTCTTTATGCTGGAGAAAGACAGAGAAAAACAGAGAAAGACAGACAGAGAGATAGTAAGAGAGATTAAGAGAGACAGAAAAACTGACCAGACAGAGACACACAGAGAAAGACACAGATACAAAATCTACCATGGGCAGAAAAGTCATACAGTGTCAACAACAATATGTAAAAAAGAAGAGATTATGGAAATGCAATTACTGGAATAATATTATGCGAATAATAATGAAAATAAACAATATGTAAATGTAATTCAAATACACAAATGTATGAGGAAAAAATGGAACAAATATAAATAAAGGGGATCTTGAATTTAAAATAAAATATGATAAAATGAATGCTTAATTGAACAAAATGAAAACATGAAATTGAAAGTAGCATGTCTTCTTCTTTCATTCACTTGAAATAGATTATCTATATCTGTAATATTGTCTCTAGTATGAACTTCACTGTCTTGTAATTCACTCAGCTACCCACAAAGCTAAACTTGCACCGGTGTTTCTCTTGGTCAAGAGTTTTGCCTTGATATGTTGTACTGGAACAGTCTTAGAGGACATGATCTGTTGTCTTGACTGACTGACTGACTTTCTACCCCACCAGGACATCACACAAGCGATAAACACCCGATGACACAATGTGCCACCATGTGGATGAGGATTACTGTGAAGAGGTCCCAGAAACCGCGTTCAGCCATTAGGCCATAATTATGGCCGGGCTATATTGCGGCCCCTGGCATGAGCCAGAGTAGGGCTTCAAACAACGAAAAATTGCATCCTAAAAAGGACATCAAGATTATCTGTTGTCTTAACAGAAGTGAACACTATGTAATGAATGCAGCAATTATAAATGATGAGCAATAAATAAAGAATATGGAAGTTAATAATACAAGATAATAATACTCACTCTTCTCTTTGCATCATCAGCTTTTGTACATAAGGCATTGATAAGAGCTATGGCATTTTTCTGTACATCTGGACTTGAGCTGTTGAAAGGTTCAATGTTGACGATGGTAAGTAAATCTAGATTAATATTTCTGGTGTTAAAAAAAAATTACTTGCTCCTCTTTTTGACTTATCCATGGTTGGTTGGTTTTTTCAAAAGAAAGACAAAGATAATAGGAATAAATCAGGAAAATAGTAATGTGGTTTCTCTTAATGACACCCCACTCCAAGACATGGAGTCGTACATCTATTTGGGCAGTAACGTATATAAAGATGAAGGAACTGATAGAGATATTAAAATAATAGTACAAAAGACAAGAGGAGCATTCATAGCTCTAGGGAATTTGTGGAGGTCAAAAGAAATTGAAAGAAAAATTAAAATAAAAATTCTTAATTCTAATGTCAAATCAGTACTTTTGTATGGGGCGGAAACATGGAGAACAACTAAGGCAATTACTAATAAATTACAGACATTCATTAACTGATGCCTGCGCAGAATTGAGAGAATTAAATGGTATGATCAAATAATAAATGTAGAGCTTTGGGAGAGAACTAAACAAGGCTCCAGTGGACCAAGAGGTGAGGAAAAGACGCTAGCGTTGGATAGGACACATACTGGGAAAACAGGAGAACAACATACCTAGAATGTCTTTGCATCAGAACCCACAGGGGCATAGGAATAAAGGAAGGCCAAAAAACACAAGGAGAAGAGAGCTGGAAAATGAAGTTAGAAAAATGGGGAGGACATGAGGAGACCTTCATGTAATGGCAAAGGATAGAACAACTTGGCATGAGTTGGTTGAGGGCCTATGCTCCATTCGGGAATAGAAAGGAAGAAGAAGAAGAAGAATGGTAATTAGAAATGTAGTGATGCTGATAGTTAGGAAACGCTGACTAATGTTAATGGTGGTAAGAAAATGTAGATCAAAGGTGCTGGTGGTAAGAAAATGTAGATCAAAGGTGCTGGTGGTAAGAAAATGTAGATCAAAGGTGATGGTGGTGAGAAAATGTAGATCAAAGGTGCTGGTGGTAAGAAAATGTAGATCAAAGGTGCTGGTGGTAAGAAAATGTAGATCAAAGGTGCTGGTGGTAAGAAAATGTAGATCAAAAGTGCTAGTGGTAAGAAAATGTAGATCAAAGGTGCTGGTTGTAGAAAAATGTAGATTAGTGTGATGATGGTTAGAAAATGTAGATTTATGTTCTCGGTTACAAAATTTCAATATTTTTAGTGGTAACAAAATGTAATTTTAGCTTCAGCTTCATAGCAAACGGGTCACCCCATAGTTGCTCATACACAGAATGTTTATCATAGTCCCTAGTGGAAAGATTGACAGACTGCTGTCTCAGCATATGCACTATCATACACATGCAAAAAAAGCAAACGGTACCCGTCAGAAGTGTTAATACAAACAGTCCAACATTAGAAATGCAGTTCATCATCGACGGTAGCAGAGGTAACCAACAAATCAACAGTTGCACACGCAAACAATTTTAATCACACAAGGGCACCACCAATGCTGTGAATCTACAATTCATAACACAACACCACGTTGGTCACAGTAAAAAAACATTCCAAATGAAATCCGCAGCATTACAGGGTCCCACCATGCACTCAGCTCAGTAGCTAGCCAACAAAACTATAACCTTTCAGTCTACAAATGAAGCAAAAATACAACAGCCACCGTCTAGCAGAAGCAAAAACTTTACCACGACTCGAAACAGTGGCCGTGCCTAGAAAATGTAGATCAAAGGTGTGGGGATCAGTAAATGTAGATTAGTGTTGATGATGGTTAGAAAATGTAGATTTATACTGTTGTTGGTGGTTACAATAAGTAGATTAACGTTGACGGTGGTTAGAAAGGTGGATTTATGCTTTTGGTGGATAACCGCAATGAAACACTTTTTGTTGAAATGTTCAGCTGTATCTATGTGCATCCTTTCCCTTGTCAAGAATCCTAGTTGTCGTCTGGACTGTGTTCATTTATTTCTTGATAACAGCTTGACTGCAGTCTTTCTTATTTTAAAAAAAAAAACTATACTGTGCATGTCACCGCTTTAAAAGGGATTTCCACGGATAAATAGGTCAGCCATTTACCTTATGCTCAGAAGATCATGAGTTCATTTTACAGACTGAGTTCTTTGGTTGTCGAATGAAGTTTTTAAAGATCCCTGGGGATCATTACCGCAATTATGGAGTTTGTGCTTTGTGTGAGACTCCCAACAGGCAGCTAGCCTTTCTGTGGAGAGAGGCTAAGCCAGATGGGATAAAACCTGATGTGATGGAGTCCATCCCCTTGACTCGACACCTCTTTGGAAGAAATAAAATACCTAGAACATGTCATGACGATGAGAAAGGGGGACAGAAGGAAACCAAGAGAGAAAGAAGATGCTAGACAGTCTGACACTTTGGCATAGAAGATTATTTGTGTGAGAAATGACTGGAAATGCACAAGATGTGGACTGTAGATAGACATGACTACCAACATCATTTTGGCATGGACCACATAAGAAGGTTAACCTAAAGGGAGGTCAGCTGCCAAACCTTCTGGGGCTCAAAGTTAACAACCCATAACAATTACTGATGCGCTACTTGCCTTTCTAAATGTTGAATGACTGACACAGCTGTAACAACCTGCTCAACAACATTCTGTTTGTTTGTGCTGAAAACAAAAGAAACAATACATTATGTAAATATCACACTGGTATAATTGTATGCATCCACTAACATTAAATATCCTATCTCACAACACCAAGATCACAACATATAAAACACTAGCAAGACCAACTGTTATATTTAGCTCGGTAACCTAAAAAAAATATTTTTAAACCAATTTCTTTGGACCCATCAAAGATGTAAAACAGAAGAATATGGAGAGTGAGAAGCAATAAAGAAATGCATAACCACTAATTAGTGGCATCATGCGAGCTAATAGACTACAGTGGTTGGGGTCTAAAGAGAATGGTAGATAACAGAGAGACAAAAAAAACTGCATATTAAAAAAAAAAGAGTAAAAGGAGCAGACAACGAATGGGAGGTGAAGATAATATACCGGAAGACCCACCAACACCTGAAGTCACCAAATGAAAAGTGAAAGGCAACCACAGAGATGAAGGGAGATGGGTGATATCCACGGCAATGAACTTCAAAGGCGTAGAATGCCCAAGAGGAAGAGGATGAAATACTGGGAATTCATTAGGAATAGGCAAAGAACAAATTAGAGTTTAAGAATCAACAGTGCTCTATTTCAGACATTCCCAGACATGCTCACTCGCTAACCAATGAAAAGTCCTTTGGTGATATAGCTGTGACCACCTCAAAATCTTATCATTTTCCTGGAGTGACAGCTGTTGTGGGTTGAGTGGCCAGACACTCACCTGCAGATCTGATGGTCACGGGTGTGAGTCCAAACAGAACTGGACGTTTTGTTTTTGAAACTGACCTCAGTTCCCAAGTCGACCAATTATTTTTTTTACACTCTAGGGACTTTAACACCCTCCGGACTGAACTGCCAACACAGTTTCATTTAAACCCCTACGGGACTGAACTGCCCTCACAGTTTTATCTCTAACTCCCTAGTTATGGCCCCTGGTGCTCCACAGGGAGTATTTATTCCCTCAGCTGACATGCGTTAGGTATATTATTAGGTGATTTTGTGTATTTGTGTAGTATTGTTTGATTTTTATATGCTGATGAAGGCCGCAAAGTTCACGTTTTGTTTGTATTTGTTTATATTGTGAAGCTTGCTAATATATTTTTTGTTCAGTTTTATATCTTTCCAAGTCGACCAAGTCTTGAATGGGTACCAGGTGAAATCCTTAGACGTAAAGGCAGCAGAGTGATGCTGACCACATCACAAACAGTGCCAATTGGTCTATAAAATATAGGTCTAGTACTACGTGTCCAATACACCCGAAGGCGAGGAAAAGAGTCCTTTTACAGGAGTATTGAAGGTCATCCACACACCCTGCTCACTACTCGCTGAAGGCTTGGATACTGTGTACTTCACTAATCACACAATCCTATTGACCTTTCAGATTTCAGATTACATCATAACTGTATCATCCATTTTCCTGTTGTTTCATTATATTGCGGCTCGCAATCCACTTCTCCATTCCAATCTATTCTGTGCAATCGCTTTGATATCGTGGATATCAATCCACTCCAGCACCTGTGACTACCCTCAACATTTGCCTTAGGGTTTCTCTCAGACTTCATGATTTACTCCAGCCCTGATTCTAGTGATTATCAATAGACAGATATTGACACTTATCAACATGCACATAATAATGATTTTTAAAATTTAAAAAATTTAAAAAAAAACACAACTTACCAGTGCAATACAACAGATTCTAGGATATCAAGAGCTGACTGAAGACAGGCAGTATCCATGTTATTCGCAGAAACATTGACACAGTCTGCTACCTGCAAATTCAGTAAGTTACAACGGACTATTAAGTAAGTCTACACTTGTTAGGTTCAGAAATGTGTGTGCTTCACTGCAAACACTACAATAAACTCTTAAAGATGACAGCGCCTCACTTGTTTGTTATTTGACTATGCTTGGTTAACTCACATTTATGTAACCTATGGTGCCATGTCAGTGGTTTGAGATAAATTCTGTCTGTTTTCCACGGTTGTGGATTCAATCTGTACATTAGACACGGCTAATGTAGACACCTTTTTCTAAGAGTTCCTAGTTGGTCATGCATCTTGGTACACTTATTTATGCAACAGGATGATGTTGTCACTTGGAGGTGATAGGTTTGATTTCCGAAATATAATTTTAGCTTCTAAATGTTGAATGTTGAATCAGAAATCGACATCATAGCACTCGGGACACCTTCATAAGCACTCCATCCCCATCTTCAGCAGCAAGCAAAGAGTTAAAATTAGTAACTGTCTGATTGTATATCCGTCTCACCTTTCCCCTGAGTGTCGAGCGTCGGCCAGATTCCCTTGTAACTCCTCGAAGTGCTATTCTTCTCAGACAGTAATGATCTATCTGTGCCTCGGCACTGTTCACCCGTTCCCAAAGGGCCCTCACAACATCCTGCCTGTCATACATCAGTTCACCACCAAGCGGTGCAGAACCAGCCAGACTATCTGCCTGCTCATTTCTTAACCCACCGGCATTACCTTGAGAAAATATACAAAGGATGCTAACTACCCGGGACCTTTGAAGTGATGCTTGCCACTCTGCATGGTGCATGCCTGTTCACACTTTTCTCAGCATGCTCTCTGAGTCAGTTACAATGACGGCATGTGTGTACAGCTGATTCTCAAACCAGCTGAAGGCAGCAGTGACTGCCTCCACCTCCATTCTCATTGTTTTTACCTTTTGAATCGTTATGGTGTCTACTGCATCCTTCTATCTTTCTACTTGTGTCTACGAGTGCTGATCAATATATGTCTATTTGTTTATTATATAATGTTTCTACAACCTACGGGTTTTCCATCTGTTTATTTCTGTGTATTAAGTGTAAGTTTTAAAGGTCAGGCAGCAAGTATTTAGGGCCAATAATGTGAAGCCAGGAATCATGGCAGAGCAGCAGCTAGCACTTTGTTATATGGCCATAGGTACTTCTGTGTTCACACACAGAAGATTGATAAACACACTGTGTCGTGGTTTACAGCTAGGTTTCAACATCCGCCCTATTTCTAACAATATCAGTCTATATGCCAAATGCAATACTTGCATGGAAAGGGACATTTATCTTTTTATTAAACTTTTAAAAGTTACTAGACTATTTAAAACAAATTAGAAGTTATTAAACCTCTTAATGTAAAATGTTACTACATTAATTTGATTTCAGTAAAGAAGTGAAAGGCAATCTCAAAACAGATAATGCTATAAGTATGTGAAATATATTTTTATATCTTCAAGGTCACACTTACACGTTTGATGAAATCAGCTTCTAGAATGTTCCATTCAACAATGCCATGCTCCATAAGACTGGCAAAAGATTTCAGTGTATACCCGAGTGGATCTCCTTTGCTGAAATTTTTTTCAAAAAGACAACTGTTATTTCTTGGTTAATCTAAAGGCAACAAAGTAAACATTTTCTATATCCTTTACTGCAGGCAGTGGTTGCATAAATTCATTCTACCCTGATTTTTACAACTGTTTTTTTTTCCCAAATTTCAAAACGGAAGACATGATATTAAAATGAAGAATCCTGCACTGTGCAAATAAAAGGAGCACTGTGTAAATTTGAAACTTCTGAGGTAATCATGTGGCTTATCTGGAATTCCCAGTGGTAAGCTGAGACATCATGATTTTTATATTTTAGTGGAAAAGATTCATTCTTTTAGGCTTCTTTATACCTTGATGCAACTCTGTAGTCATGCACCTGAAGAGATCAAGCTAAATATGCCACTCTATAAACTGTGTAAAGTATTGTTTGTATACTCAATATTTAAATTATTTACTTCTGTTCAATGTTATTTTTATTTTTTTTAGACATGAACACTGGCTGCATTAAACTAGAACATCCTGAGACAGAAAGTGATACAGTTATTACTGTCTGGTACTGAAATAGTCAAACTCTGAGACGAAGCATTAGCAAGCCTGAATCACTAGTTTTGTGAGAAAGTAACAAGAACTCTACAATAAAATCAAATCACCATACAGACAAGGTAGAAGAACAAACTTTAAACCAAGCTTTGACTGAAGAAGCTATTTTCAAGGCCCAAATAATAATGCTAAAGACCTATAGAGTCTTCTCAATCAGCGGTTCCCAATTGGTTACCTCTTTTATCAGAGGCCTCAGGGGTAGTAAAGAGAAACTGGGAATCTTGCATTCACTGGGCATCTAAGTGGGAACTATAATTGGATGAATGTAGCAAGAGTTCCTTGGGACTGAAAGAGGTAAGCCCTTCAAACTTTGTTTTTTATCTGAAAGCCTCAAATAGGAACCACTGTTCTAAAGAATTCAGAACCACATGCCAGGGATAAACGTTACAAGGAACTTGTTTTTTTTTTTTTTTTTAAATCGATATGCATCTTGTTCTTTTCATTCGTCCAAATGATGTAAGTGTGTGTGCCTGTATATTACAGAACTGCAATATTTGAGCACTTTGGCCGAAATATTTGACCTCATCGAGCAATTGTTGACAACATTAATTTCCCAGTTAGTTTTGTGGGATAGGGATTTATCTGTGTGGTGTTCTCTTTGTTCCCTAATCTACAGGTGTTGCCCCTGGAGACCCCGTCCAGGGCATCTGAGTGTAGGCAGTCAAGAAAAGGCAGGGGCACATCATGGACATTCCCCATCATCCAAGGAGGCTTCCATAAATGCAGAGCTGAACACATGATGCTCTGGTCATGGGCGCATCCAAGGAGTCATCACGTCCTGCAAATGACTGCTTAATCTCACATCCATATATTAAGCTTTCAAACTGTCCTGGGCTGTGCCCTCCAGAGATCAGCAGGGAGTAGCCTACATGTCCTGGACTTCAATGTTCACAGAAATAGGTACAAATCGGCTTTGATCGACGTTTTCACCAATTCAGTGGGTGTGGGCTGTTGTGAGCCAAACTTTCTCTCACATATGTGATCAACATCACCGTGCCAAGTTCAATCAGTATTATCTCAGTGATTTAAAAAAAAATATGACAAACATTAACAAGGCAGCAGAAGCTTTTAAAAGCCTTACCTAAACACAGAAAACTACAAGTTTTTAATATTTAGATATGTATTTTCAATTCTAATGTTATTCTAACAGAAACCAGTGAAAGTTGGACAGCCAAAAAGACATGGAACAAATGCTAAATGCATCTGAAAACAAATGTTTCAAGAAAATGTTGAACACAAAATGGGATGAATTTAAGAGGGTGGAAGTAGAAGTAAAGGACCCTCTTCCGTGCCTTTCAGGCATTTTGGGTATATAGGGCTAGACCTATAATTTATAGACCAAATGGCAATTGGTGGGTGGTGTGGTCAGCATAACGCCGGCTGCCTTTACTTCTCAGGACTGTACCTAGCACTTGCTTAAATCCAACCCTCATCAGGAACTGAACCCACTATCTTCCAATATGTAGCCGAGCGTCTAGCCGCTAAACCACCATTAAGCCTTATCGCCAAAGAGGGGTAGAGAAACCAGAAAAATTTCAGGGTAACCATTGGTAACAACAGTATCAGACAAAAAAGATGTCACTGTAGTAGACACATCCTCAGAAGAAATGAGCAGAGAATCACCAAGCAGGCTCTAAAATGGAAAATAAAATTACTGACAAAGAGGGGAACTCCAATCAAATCTCTAAAACAAGCGCTGATCAGAGAAGCCTAGAGTTATAAACTGCACTTCATTCATGATAATGAAGTGGTTGTCCAGTATAGAACAGAACGGTGGATTAGACAACTGGACAAACAAATATGATGACTATGTAGGTGATGGAATCAATATCATGCTAGCCACCTTTTACATCACATATTAATTCCTGCAACTATTTTTTTGTTTTGTTTTGAGGATGGGAGCCCAGGTCAGATGCAACAATCTGCCTTAATAGCCTATATACAATTCTGATAGCTTCAAAGATGTCTGAAAACTGAAATATAAACTTACAAATTGCCCGCTGTGATGATGTCGATGACAATCTGATGGCCCTTGATTTTGACGAACTCCTCTGCAAATGTGATATCCGAGGACAGAAATGAAAGCTGCCGAAGTGCTATGTTTTTATCCTCCAGCCGGGGCCCAGTAAGAGATTTTTTTATGACCTGCGCTGTATGTGACTAGAAAATATGAAAGATGTGTGACAAACCAACTGTATGTGACAAGAAAATATGAAAGATGTGTGACAAACCATGTGATAAAAAGACAACCATTTAAAGATTAGTGGCAATTTTTTCATTGAAACTTTGATTCGTAACAAGCAAAAAATCTTCCTCTGCATTCCCCTTTAAAGGGGGAGGCACATTTTTGTGTGGTTTACAGCAAGGCAGCAATATCTGCAATTTTTAGCACAACGCACCTGATTTTCAGAAAACCCGTAATTAGTTGCCTTTCATGACCAGTTTGAAAAAAAAAACATATGGTAAGGTAATACACACACACACATCCCCTTATCACCAAACACACATGGTAAGGCTACGCACACACACAAATATACATGTAGTATATATAAGCAACCCCCACCCCAAATAACATCCGACTTAACCTTTGGCAAAAGATATCAAATGCAGTTAGGAACAAGCCACTGTAGCAACACCGATTATGCAACATTTATGGGGGATCTGATACTACTGGAAGTGCTGGTTCCACAGCATCCTGAGGCCAAAGGGTTAAGGCAAGATGACGCTCTGTCTTTCATTCTTTTCAACTTAGCCCTACAGAAAATTATCAAAAATGTGAAAGAAGTTTGTAATATAGCAGAAACAATAAGAACATTTGATTACACAGATGGTACAGATATAGCAGGTGAAACTGAACCACAGTTTACTAGCTTGCAAGGGCCCTGACAACATCTAGCTTGTCATACATCAATTCAACACCAAGGGGTGCAAAACTGGCCAGTCTATCTGCCTGCTCTTTTCCCTACATACCGGTATGACTTGGAGAAAATATGCAAAGGATGCTAACCACCTGGGAGCAGAGAAGAAGTAGTTATCTGCCATTCTCTCTATATGCCCTAGCCACTACAACCATGATGCCAGAAATTAGTGGCTTTTTAAAAAGATTAAAATTTAATTGATGCTTCTCGCTCTCCATACTCTGCTGTGAGCATCTCTGAAGTATCGGAAGATGTATAAGACTGTTCTCAAAACTTTGTGTCTGTTTTAGTTGTACTCCATCCAGGTTTCAGAGCCATAAGGTGCAACTAGTCTTACCCATGTTTTATAAAATGTGATCTTGGTGTTACGAGATTTAACTGTAACAGATGTGGGGCATAATACACCTTATTTCTAGATTGTATTCCATCCTTTTCTTCAAAGTATGATCTATTGTTGATCTGCCTGTGTCAAAAGCCTGTTGAGCCAGAACAGCTGACCTGGCTTATCTCTTTAAAAAAACAATTTCTTCATCGACTAGCTGAAAAAAAAAAAAAGATAAATTTATGGACATCTTTTCTGTTGCAGCCTATCTAAATGATAATTTAATAACTAGCAAATAAAAAATGTGAACACCCAGGGGTAAAACACAGCGACACAAATGCTCATCTGCAATTCTATTACACATGAACTTACCGCTGATGGTGTCAGGTTGAGCACTTGGCCATCACGAATATCTTTACGGTTCTGGAAACAAACATTTGTGTTAACAGAGAGATCCTGTTCAGTTTTCACATATCATGTTTCCCTTGATTGGCGTATACAATATACAGTCAGATGTCATGTCAATTATTTGACACCACTGTTGCGTTACACACACACACACATGTTTTATGTGCATTAAACATTTTTTGTAAATATACTGTATCAGTTTAATCTTTCTAGGTTACAGCTGGGATATAAAGTGTCTACTATTGCTTACTACTGTCAACTAATCTCACAAACAGCTTAACGGAACCTAGGGTGTCTGTTGCAAAGTGGTCAGTCTTCATCGCCCTATGCTCTGAAGTTCATGAGTTCATTTTAGGCCCATGTTGTTCAGTTCATGGATGTAATTCTTATAGATATCTTTGAAATTGTCACTTGAGTTTGTGTTTTGTGTGAAACATTCGGCAAGTTGCCCGCCTTTCTGCTAATACCACGCCATATGGGATAAAACTCACTGCAGTGAAATCAACCCTCTCGGTTTTATTTTAAACTTTTCCTACTGCTCAAGATGCTGCAATATTTTTATTTAAAAATTTTTTTTTACATTCATGTCCTTTGATTAGATGAGATTTACCTTTTACTATTATTATCCCCATGTGCCGTGCCGATAACAAGTAGGATGTCATGTTTCGATAAAAAGTAGGATGTCATGTTTCGCCATCTCACTTAATCACCGGAATCATCTATCATGTCCTTTGATTAGATGAGATTTACCTTTTACTATTATTATTCCCATGTGCCGTGCCGATAAAAGTAGGATGTCATGTTTCGCCATCTCACTTAATCACCGGAATCATCTATCAGGTCAGTGTTCTTGTCTGGCCCCAGCCATATGACCAATACATCCAGCCATTTATTTCTTTGCCTTTCCCTTGCTCACTTTCGATCAATCTTGCCAGTCACCACAAAGCTCATGAATCTATTTCTTCTGAAAACATATCTGACAAACGCTGACTGTCTATGTCTAATTATCTCATCAGTTTATGAAGTTCACCTGTCTCAAAGAGAACTACCTGGGGTTTTCCCCCTATCACTCCATGATAATCTTTGCATTCTTCTCAAAAACCAGACACAATTATGTTAATCCTTTAGTATTATTGTTATTATCCTATATTATTTAGTACAGAAAGCAATGGCAAACTAATGAATGTAAAATGTGTCTAGAAAAACATCCGACAAATTTTGGGGTTGGTTTTGCAGTGTCCTGTAAGAGATACACATTTAGCTGTTACTATCCTTTATTATAAAAATAAAAACTTCATGAGAAAGAAATTTATCATTTTAATCATCTAAAACAACATAAGAGACTAGAAAAGAAGAAGAAGCGGAAGACATGTTTAGTCTTCGTCAGCTTTCATGAAAGTCCAAAGGGTTTAAACCCATGACCACATAGCAGACAAGGCTAGTCTGCTACCTACTGTGTCACTGCAAGTCACTAAAAAAAGTCTTCGCGTTAGGTCATTATTTTGCACAAAAGTGATTTTGCTATACGAAGATACATTATCACTAAATTCAAATGGAGCAAAGAAAAAACTGCTTTCCATATCTTTGACTGAAAAAATATGACTTCTGTTGACACAGCCAACGAACGAACGAACAAACTTTATTTTCAAAGGGTCACAAATTAGGCAAGCATGCCTGTCTTACATTCGGCCCTACTAAACTCCCATCTTTCACACATCAGTTCGTATTTCATCAATAAAGCATGTTATGTTCATGTAATAATATGCTTATTATGAATATCAAGTCAAAAACAAAAGCATAGGTAGTAAAATATGTGCTAATCAACATGCAGTGGCTGATGCGGTCAACATAGCGCTGGCCGCTCTATATCCCGGGATTCACCTTTACTTCCTAACATTCTACCTGGTGCCCTGGGTCAACCTGGGAGCAGAGGTCATTTTTTTTTTAAAAACTGAACCCACAAACTTCAGATTTATAGGCGAGAAACTGTAGATATGTTGAGAAATATTCCATTACCATGGAAATGCAGGTTGAAAGGAAAATGCAAAGAATGTCAGCCATTTCCGTCAAAGACCCAGTCAAGCACCAGGCATATGATGCTAGAAACAATTCTATATACCAATCAGCACTCGGTGGACGATGTGTTCAACATCAGGCCCAGTGCCTTTACTTCCGAGGACATCACCTGGTAACCATATTACGCAGGTCTGACCAGGCAGCCAAGGTAAATTTTAAATAAAAATCAATCTCATTGTGGATTTGAACCCAAGACCTTCGGCATGGCAGGTGAGTGTAGAGAATTTCAAGAACTAATGAGAATTTTAAAAAATGTGGCTGTCCTTAAAAAAACAGCTGCTACCTAAAAACTGATCAGAGAAATTAGACACAAAGAGTCACGACATTTGAGGTTTGTGTTGAGGAGAAACAAACTTTCAAATCAGTGGCAAATAGCCAATTTTATGGAAACAGAGGAAGGGGAAGGTAAAGTGTATACCTGGATGACTTAAGCACACAAAACAGACAGAACAAGAACAGGGACTTTATTCTTGATACTGATCTTATTCCATCTTATTGCTTATTCCATAAAGTGCCACAGAAAGTTAGTAGGTATAGACAAATCAGCATTAGGTGGGTAATGTGGTCAGCATTACGGTGGCCATCTTTACTTGCCCAGGACATGCATCCTGGTACCCATTTTAAACTGGGTCGACCTGTGACGCCTTTTACCATGATAAAAATCCATGCAGCCAGCAGTGGGTTTAGATCGCAGTAATGAAAGAATCAGGAATGCCGGCTTTAAATGTGAAGATTAACAGCCCTGGATGACAGGAATTACCCTTACTGGAATGGAAAACAAATTAGCTTTATTTTCAAAGGGTTTAGAATTAGGCATGCAGACCTGTCTAACATTTTGCCCTTCTGGCCTCAAACATGAATATTAACAGCCCTGGCGACATGAATATATGTAAGAAGACAACTAAGCTGCTAACAAACAACTCAGCAGCTTCAGAAAAACATAGCAGGGTATATTTTCACAGCCAAAAAAAAAAAGGTTACCTTTTCTGTGATGTACATCTTCTGGTTGTTTTCATTAAAACGGAGTGCATAGTTTTTGGGGTCTGAAAGGTTCCACCTGGACAAGTACAGGAATCCACAAGTTATTCACAAATAGTTGCATAACAAAGTAAAATTATTGGTGAAGTAAACTGCAGAGGCAAAATGTTACAGAAATATAATGCTGCAAGAAGTAAAATAACACAACACCAACTATGACTCGCAAGATGAACAAAGGAAAGGGAACATATGCACAGAAAGACAACCCCTCTTTCCTTTGAAAAATAAATTGTCTCATTCATAGTCTAAGCCCACATCTTAATCATTCATAGTCTAAGCAGTCTCAGCCCACATCTTAATCATTCATAGTCTAAGCAGTCTCAGCCCACATCTTAATTATTCATAGTCTAAGCAGTCTCAGCCCACATCTTAATCATTTATAAGTTGGTGTTGTTTATTATTTCAGAGGCTTGGGTATGTCAGCAACGTTCATCTGATGGTCTCTCTTGGATGTTCTTGTTTTGCTCAATACATTTATTTCCCACTTCAGTGACATTTTAGTCATTCTCTCCGCTCTGGAGGGATAGATGTTCAGCATACATTCATTACAATTTTTTTTTCATTCATTTATTTCTATTTGATTTATATTTCCATCCTTTTGCCCCGTTTCTTTGTTCATGTATTGTTTTGCGCTTCCTGACCTCAGTTTCCCTATTTTTGTTCTTCCTCATTTACATTCACCCTTACAGTTGGCATGTTGTGCTGTTGTTTACCGTTAAGCCCTAATATGTGTGCCTTTCAATCCAGTACATGTGACTGCAGCAAACTCTTAGTTAGTCGCCTTTTACAACATGTTCACTAGATTTGCAGTTGGTCTATTACTTTTTTTGCTCCAAAATGGGGACTTAGAAACCACATGCATTTTTGTCCTTACATTCATCTGACGGCAGGCATCACCATTTATGATATTATTTAGTCACATTTGCCATAGCGATGAATGAAATTAGACCTTATTACATGCACACTTCATTGCTTCTTATTTCTGTTTTGCCTTTAACTCTTTCAGTACGAAGAAACTTACCCTATGTTGAGTTGTTACTCCTTACGTGGTATAAATTTCTTCACTTGTATTATCCCATTCTTTTGTTATGTTAACCACTCAAATTTCAATTGATTCTTTAAACCAGTGGTTTTCAACCTGTGGGTCATGGCCATTTTGTGGGTCGAATTACCCTTTCATAGGGGTCGCCAAAGACCATCAGAAAAACACAGTCACTGATGTTTTGAAGTAGCAACAAAAATAATTGTGTGGCTGGGGGTTGCCACAACATGAGGAACTGTATTGAAGGGTCACTGCATTAGGAAGGTTGAGAATCACTGCTCTAAACCTTTCTTTCTAAAAGCTGTATGGTTTAGCTTTGTGAGACTAAACATTTTGCTTTGTGAGACTAAACATTTTGCTTTGTGAGACTAAACATTTTGCTTTAAGATACAAAACCTTTAGCAGGAGACATTGTTGAATTCAAAACTACTTAGGAATGAAAGAGTTTATCTCCTAATTGACCACAAACGCTCAACCAGTTAAAGCCACGCCTTCTGTAGACTTGTTCATGACTGGCTGCATTTCGCAGCAATAGTTTTCATAATTTTGAAAAAGGGAATCGTCACAGGCAGAAACCCAAGCCCCGAGGAGAAAGATCATTAATACAATACAACTGGCAATGTTCCACAGGCAGAAACCCAAGCCCCAGGGAGAAAGATCATTAACACAACTGGCAATGATCCACAGGCAGAAACCCAAGCCCCGAGGAGAAAGATCATTAATACAATACAACTGGCAATAGTCCACAGGCAGAAACCCAAGCCCCAGGGAGAAAGATCATCAACACAACTGGCAATGATCCATAGGCAGAAACCCAAGCCCCAGGGAGAAAGATCATTAACACAACAGGCAATGATCCACAGGCAGAAACCCAAGCCCCGAGGAGAAAGATCATTAATACAATACAACTGGCAATGTTCCACAGGCCACCTATTAGGCATTCACAGGATGCCAGTTGACTGGTCCTATCTTATGACACACACAGTAGGTCACTGTGTGTTATGTTTCTCTGCTTCTCTTATGGGACCTGGCAATATGTCGGTGGTACGTGCTTGATCTAGTACCATATTTTAAAACTAATTTACACCAGTGCTGCTTTGACATCCCGGGAAACATCCTAATATTTATTTCAGGCCATGCCAACTGCAGGACTAACTCAGAGACAACGGGATTCTTCTTCTTCTTAGCGTTCACCTACTGTAAAATCCATCGGATAGTTCTGGTTGTTTATACTGGCTGGTTCTGCAACATTTGGTGGCAAACTGAAGCGTGAAAAACTAGACAGATGTTGTAAGGGCCCTTTAGGGGGCGAGTAAACAGTGAAGGAACACAAACTGATCATGAGGGTCTGAAAAGAATGGTGCAATAAGGAGTGACCTGGGGATCTGGCTGATGCTCAACATTCAGGGGGAGGGGTGAGATGGATATACAATCAGACTCTTACTGGTATCATTGGAACTGGAAATCTGCACTTGCTGCTGAAGATGGGAATGGAGCACTTATGGCATGTGAGCTCTCAACTCACAGCTCTGGTTGTTCGTCCACTTCTGGACTTTGATCTTGTTCCAGAACTTAGGTTTTGCATGCACCTCTATTTTACAGATCTGGTTTATTTGTATGCAGACTGTTGGTTCCTCACCTCTCGAGCAGATCCACTCTAACTATGAAGGAAACAACCAAAGTAAGCCAGTCACCTTTTATGACATGCTTGTTAAGGGGGCAGTCAATCTATTCTTTTCTCCCCCACTATGGGGTCCCAGAACCCACATCAGCAAAAGGGGATTCAAACACCCAAATAATAGGCTGATATGTGCCCATATGTGGCTCAGAATACATTGAAGTGCCCAAATTAAAACATATTTTTCACCTTTTTTTACAGAGGAAACACTAAAGAAATGGGTCATGACCCCGCTGCAACTGCCTTTTTATTTTAAACCATAATTTACACAGTGTGCTAATAAATTTATTTAAAAGTTATTTAACTTTTTTCTCAAATTACAGAAAGATATATGAAGAAGTCCTCCAAGGAAAAAACCAGTAACATGAACAGGGTGAAGCACTGAAAACAATGTATTCCCAGGGTTTTTAAAAAACTGTATGTTTCTGATGACTCGCGCCATGACACTGTGACATCTACCACTGATTCTTACAGGAAAACTTGACATCAACTTTCCTCCAAACATGCTATTTGCCACAAAAGGACACCCCCCCCCCCCCCCACACTATTTTTAGGTAATGTATTAATATCCTGACCTCCTAAGCATTTGTGCAAGTTTGAACAGCCAGGAGCATTAATTATGTGTCTTGTAAACAGTTTGCTATACACAAGTCAGAAAAGTGACACTTATGGGGAACTAGACTCAACTGTAAATATCAGTTTTAAGGCTTCTCTGTGCAAAATTGTTGAGCCAGCAATCAGAGAATAGATAACTATCATCCACTTTTGCCCTCAGGCACTGTGAGCAGCAACATAAATAAATCAATCAAAGAAATTGAATGCCAAAAATATATAAAAGAAAAACAAACTTAATAGTTTCTAAAGATTTACATGTAAAATAAGTAGAATGAAATGATAAAGAATAAATAGAAACCTATATTACTGTAATATAAATGCAAACTAAACAGCTTAAATTTTTTTTTAAAAACAACAACATGCAAATAGATTATATATTTTCATCTAGGTCAATAAAGTTTATGCAAATATAAGTACAAATGTGAAGCCGACTGTGTAAATTCAAATTTATCAGTAAACTATCAAATAGGCATCCTCTCATTTAAAACCTTACTTTACATACTCAAATCGTGAATACTTGATTAGGTTTCAGAATTCAGATATGAAACTGAAACTCAAGTCAGCAGCCCTTTATTACTATCCTAAGTCATCAAGTGCCTTGCCAGCTGGTGTAGGCGTTCGTGCGTCTCCACAGATCTCGGTCTTTGGTGTTCTGGATCAATTCCACTGAGGATACTCCGCCATGCCACTGTCTTAAGCCATCCACCATTGTTTCTCTTGGTCTTCCTCTGCCTCTTCTACCAGCGATCTTTACAGTCACAATATTTTCAACATGACCATAGAACTTTGTCTCCTTCTCATTGTTGTTTATGATGTTCTACTTTCATTAGCCATTTCCAGGCAATCATTGTTAGTTATTCTGACAGTCCAAGGTATTCGCAACATTCTTCTCAAGAATCACATTTTGGTTGCCCCCGTGTGGGTTCCGGGGCCCCATTGTAGGGGAAAACAAGAATAGACCCACTGCCTACCCAAAAGCATGTCGTAAGAGTCGACTAATTGGGGAGCTTCCTTTGAAGTCGGAGTGCATCTGCCGGAGAGGCAAGGAACCAACAGTCTGTATTCAAGAGAATGAGATTTGTAAAACTGATGCACACGAAACACTCAGGTTCTGGAGCAGGACTGCAGTTCAGTAGTGGACGAACAACCAGAACTTTCCGCCAGAGTGTACAGCTGGTGAACGTGAAGAAGAAGACATTTTGGTTGCCTCCAAACTCTTCTTAATTTATTTGCTCACATTTCAAGATTCACTGCCATACAACAGAACAGGCTCAATGTAACATTTCAGTACTCGTTTTCTGATGTTTAATAAGAGTGATTTATTACATAAGACCATTTTCATCTTCTGAAATGCTGCCTTTAGCAGGCCAATTACTGCTATTTTTTTCTGTCACACATCATCCATCTGATGTTATGAATGTCCCTAAATATCTGAATTTATTTACTTGGTTAAGCACTTTCCCTTCTATTGCTATGTCACATTTTGAAGTTATCTTCTTCTTTGATATAACCATTAACTATCCTAATGATAAAATCATCATCACTAATTTCCACTATTGCGGTTCAGCATTGTGGAACAGTTTGCGATCCACTGCTTGATGTGCAGCAATGGCTATTGTCATTTTGTGTCAAAGTAGAAGCTCTTTAATGTCATCAGTCCATGTTCTCCTAGGGCAGCCTCTTGCTTTCACTTCAGATCATTTCACGTGTAGCGCCTGCATTGGTAGTTGTTCTGCATTCTTACTAAGTAACCAAACTATTTGATCTTCTGTTTCTCAATGGATTTGATGGATGGTGTTGTTCCTACAGTTTGTCTGATAATATCATTTCTTTGTCTCGGGTGGTTAAGATAGCGGCTTTTCTCAGGCATCTCATTTCATGCATGTTAATTTTACGTATGTTAGCCTTTGATAATGTCTGGACTGGTAGCCCAGCGTTGGTATGAACAGGCTGTTTATAATCTGTTTCTTGGTGCTTATACTTACGTTTGGATGTCGCAATAACGGTGTCAGTATATAAGTGCACTGACTCGTTGGCACCTTGTTTCTATTTCCCTATCTATTCTTCCGTCCTCTGAGATATTTAAATTCTTTTAAATGCTTCAGACAAGTACCATTCAACCCGATATTTAGTGGATAAGAAATTCTACTGACATGCATTACTTTAGTTTTAGTAGTATTTACTTTCACGTCATATCTTCTGCATGCTGAACTTAGCCCCCCCCCCCCCCCCCCATACTCTCTCTTAATGAGTTATAACCAATATTCAGAAATATTATTTATGGTTTTTTTTTAAAGTCAGTTGCACATCCTCTTCAGGAGGTCAAAAACCAACCCAACATTGACTGTTATGTTCAGTATTCCATAACTGCTTTCTAAACGGTACAAGGCCTCTACCAATGTCAAGATAAATCAAATTTACCTTCTACTTAAAATAAATGTAAAAGTGTAAAAATACAAATTATTAAAATCTGTAAAAATATTTTTAAAAAGGTTTCGGTAAACAAAAATTTTTTAACAAATACTCACCCCTGACATATTTCTTGGATGATATTATCCAGTGGTAATGTCTGTAAAGTATAATGCAATAAAACTTTAGTCATGTGTTGTGCTCACAAATATGAGTGTTTAATGGCTAGTCAATTTCTTCATCATTAAATTCCACTGATGTCATTCAGTGTCGTGGGGAGAAACAGTTTGTGATCCACTGGGTAGTACTGGCTATTGTCATTCCCTGCTGATGTAGAATGTCTCTAATTTCCATCTGTCTGTCTTCGTCTTGCGAGGAGACGCCACGGTGTAGAGGCTAGATGTTCGACTGGGTGTCCGAAAGTCATAAGTTCTGAAGAAGCCGGTCCTTTTTCTTCTTAAAAAATGACCTTGGTTTCTGGGCAAACCCAGCCTTAAATGGGTTCCAGATACAGTTCTGGAAAGTACAGGTGTTGGCGTGATACTGAATATATCAGCCACTGAGTGCCAGCTGGTCTATAAAATCTTGGTCTAGCCCGATATGCCCGAAGGCATGGAATAGGTCCTCTACTTCACTTTTATTTTTCCTTGGGCTACCTTTTGCTGTCAAATAAGATACTATAAGTGTAGCAAATGTACTGATTGCAATCTAATGAAATGACTGAACCATTTGAGCTTCTGCTTCTCAATTAATCTGGTACAATGTTATTTTTCCCACAGCCTGATAGAATCTTTTTTCACTCTGCCTTGGATGGTTCAGTCTACAAAAGTAGCAAACAATGTTTGCAAGTATTGATTATTTTCTGTAGACATAATTATTATTTTAGACAATGACACTGAATCATTTGGACATAAATAGATTGCAAAGACCGTGCTTCAAGGAACATTCGAGAGGTGGTCAAAAAAGAGTAGGGCAATGAAGAATCTGCAATGACAACATCTAGAAATGAACAGGACTAAGTTATCATGCAGAGATAGTTTTCTGCAGAAGTAATGATTAATTTATGTACAAATATGAACTGTTTCTTATAAAAATAATGATTACTTGCTGCACCAGTAATGATTACTTGCTGCACCAGTAATAATTACTTGCTGCACCAGTAATGATTACTTCTTACAGAAGAGATGACAGCATTATCAACAAACAATTACTTCACCTATTTTCCATAAATGAAATTACTTGCCATTTTAGGTACAAGCTATTTCATGTACAAAATACTTAAGATCACTGCTTTCTATGCATGCTTTTTAACTTTATTCACAAACGACTACTCTCTGCAATAGAAAATATACAAACCTGATCAAACTCAATCAACTGTCCTGGCTGATTCCCAGTTACATCTCTATCAAGCATGGTTACTGCAACCTTCTTAATGTTTGCACACTGGTTGCGGAAATTCCTTGGTGTCGTTGGCAAAGTTTTGCCCAGGCTGGCGCCTGAAACAATGCTTGTGCGATCCAAAGGCATTATGAATGCTGGTGACTTGATCTCACAATAAAAAGTGCTATCTCATACTTTTGTGCTATGTATATAATTATTTATTTTGCGTTCATTTTGATAGTGCTTACTCTTTCATTCTATGTGTTCTGAAAATGAAAAAGGGAAGAAGATAAACTAAATCTGTATTAGAATTGCACCATCAAAATTTATTCATGAGAAAAACTGCTCAGTTCACTAACACAGACAATTAAGATGGAGAGAAACTGGTTTAAAGGTTTCTAAACCAGTCTTTCTCAATTTCCACAGTTGTGATCACCAAGATTACCTTTACACCTTTGTCACTGCCATAAAATCTTGTTCTGGGGATAAAACCAAACCACACTACCCATAAGAAAATGCTCTTATCCATAGTTTCCACGTTTTCAGTTCTTTTGGAATCAACATAATATCTGTTTGCTTGTTTATATATTTATTTGTCAGTTGCATTATTTTCCCCTTAACTCTTTCAGTCCTGGGGGTTTAGCATCAGAGGCCCATGGAGTGAAAAAGAGAGATGTAAAACTGGTGCATCTTGTGTTTACTGGGCTTCTAGGTAGGAACCTATGAAAGTATGATGTGTTCTTTGGGACTGAAAGAGTTATGTTTCCTGTTGTAATACCTCTTCTGTAGCTTATCTGCACATTTTTGCACATTTCCATTATACTGACCATCCCAGCCAATTTGCTGTTTGTGACATGATTCATGTTGTTTTGTTTGTGGATAAAGACTACTTTACATCTTTATATCGTCCTGACTTCATTCATCCCTATTCTAAACATCGTTTCTGACCAACTGTATATGCCAGAAAACGCATTACATTATAGTTAGGAAAAGGTCAAGATAAATAGACAGGATTAATATTTAGAAATAACCTCTCGGTAGACTACCATTTAAATTTAAGCAAAGTTTACAATAACTACAATGGGAGCTGCAATGGTGTAGTGGTTAGATACTCACCTTCAGATCAAAAGGTGGTGGGTTCAGGTCCTGACGGAGCTGAACTTTTTTTTCAGTAATGACTTTTGCTTCCAGGTTGACTGTCTTAAATGGGTACCAGGTAAAGTCCTGTTTTTTTTTTTGTGTGATGGTCATAAGTGTGGATGGTCATTAGCAGAGGTGGGGGGGGGGGGGGGGGCCTAACTGGTTTAAGTCCTGGTATGATAACTATAGCTTTTGACGGTCCAGTTATCAAGTATGTCTTCCGATCTCAATGTTTTTTTTATGAGAGCCAACTGATACATGTTAATTTGTTTAACTAATAAACTGTTGGGGGAATGACATTGAGTTGTTTGACATGATACGATTATGAGTCTGTGAGAATGCACTACTGTTAGCCATTCTTCAGTACAGTGTATGTTGTTGGCTAATTTATGGATGAAATCAATGCAGTTTAATTTAACCTTTTCGCTGCTAGGAATGACTTAACTCATCTTCCAGTTTATATGCCCTCACTGTTATGGATGAGAAACATGTTTTTGACTTTCCTTACAGACGGCTAAGAAAATTTATAATTGGGTCCAAGGGCAACACACATTAGCTAGATTTAAATCTAGATGACCCATTAAAATCTAAGTGACCCATTTACATACAATTAAACATACTACGATGTGTTATCACCCATGTTCAGGTTAGTAGGACTGGGAATCACATTAGCCTGTTTCTTTGTTCACCCAGGATGCTTGGTCAATTATATGTTATTTTTGTTCTCTGAATTTTATTTCTGTTTTTGCATCTTTATCTACATTTTGTTTATTTAAAATGACAAAAAACTCAGTTAAAGTTGATGAAGAATGAATGGAGTTTTCCTCAAGGATTAATAATGAAGATGACTCAGAAATGTGTGAGCCATGAGTTGTGTGGTATGTAGCAGCAAAATGGTTAAATAATATAGCACTGAGATAACTTATGATATTATTTTAAAAATTATTTAAACCTTTCGCCCCAGTAATGCTCAAATAAGTAGGTCATGACAGCACAGGAATTTCTTCAAATACACTTAAAATCCTTTAAAAACAATTTTACACAGATTACTAATGTAATTGAAGATCAAAGACCTAAAACTGAAACAGGTGGCAACAAACTGCCAGACATGGACAGCTATGACCTCCATCCTATGTGCTGCCCTAGGCTCAAGAGGAAAGATCTAGATTAAGATTCAGCCAAAGTTGCTGGATGCTAGTAGCAATTCTATACATGAAAGCGATGAGTGCTGACATACCCGGAGCTTGCAAACTAGACAAAAATGGGGAATTCCTTAATGACATCAATACACATAGGGGCATGCCTCTATTTCACTGGTGAATAAAATCACATCCCTCTAGACTAGACACAGCCAAAAAAAAAAGGGTCAAAAAGGGATCGTATGTCATTCAAGGTATCATTGTCTGCTTGAAGTGGCGTCTCACAACATTCATTTAAAAAATGTGCCAAAATTGTTCAATTTAGTAATGTTTGTCCTAAGTAAAAATTAAAATGCATGCAAAAATATGCAAATCAGGATAGCTAATTTAAATAAATGTTGAGATGTCAAGTGTGACTAAATAATTTAGTTTATTCAATTTGCAAAACAAGAATTAAATTAAATATATATATGTGTGTGTGATTTTATACATTTTAATAAAACGCTTTTTTTTAAATAATTCGTGTGTGTGTAAATTAAGAAAATCCCCTCTTCAGCCTGAAGGTGAAAGCTTCATCTCATCTTCTTGGCACTGAAACTCAAAATAACTACTAAGGCTCCATCTCAAAAGGGTTAATTAGGATAACCATCGCTTAATATGGATGGCAGTGTATATTTATTTCTGACAAATTAATTAAATTCATAAATAAAAGTAAGTATTTAATTTAGTATAAAAGAAATTTTGGCACTCTTCCGAATACCGGCCCCATATTATTCAAAGACAAAAAAACCCATTCAGGGCCTCAAGAGGTCGTTGTTAGGGACCTAAGAGGTCATGTTGTTAAAAATATGGAACAGGAAATGCCTTCTTTTATTATATAAGTACGTTTGAACGAAATTACCGAGTGTTCGCTAGTACAGAAGATATGCAGTCTGCTTGTTACACCGGTGATCAGGTTGATCGGGGTTCGATTCTCCGGCGGGCCAAAAGAAAAGAAAAATATTTTTCTATTGTTTTCTTCAAAAGATTGCGATATCTGCGCCTTTACTCGGTCTTGTGGTTAACAGCTAGGTTGCGATAGCGGCGGCAAATTTTTCTTTGCTTTTAAAAGGGTGGTTTAGACGTTGTTTTGTAGTATTGCACGTTGTGTTGTGGTTAACAACTAGGCTGCGATATCTGCGCCTTTACTCGGTCTTGTGGTTAACAGCTAGGTTGCGATAGCGACGGCAAATTTTTTTTTCACTTTTAAAAGGGTGGTTTAGAAGTTGTTTTGTAGTTACAACAGTTGATAAGCAGTTAAAATGGGTGGTTTGCACGTTGTGTTGTGGTTACAACTAGGCTGCGATATAGGCTGCGATTGCGCCTTTCGCTCGGTCTTGTAGTTAACAGCTAGGCTGCGATAGCTCTCCGGCGGGCCAAAAGAAAAAAAAAAAATTTTTTCTATTTTTTTTTCTTCAAAGGGTGCGATATCAGCGCCTTTACTCGGTCTTGTGGTTAACAGCTAGGTTGCGATAGCGGCGGCAATTTTTTTTTTACTTTTAAAAGGGTGGTTTAGACGTTGTTTTGTAGTATTGCATGTTGTGTTGTGGTTAACAACTAGGCTGCGATATCTGCGCCTTTACTCGGTCTTGTGGTTAACAGCTAGGTTGCGATAGCGACGGCAAATTTTTTTCACTTTTAAAAGGGTGGTTTAGAAGTTGTTTTGTAGTTACAACAGTTGATAAGCAGTTAAAAGGGTGGTTTGCACGTTGTGTTGTGGTTACAACTAGGCTGCGATATAGGCTGCGATTGCGCCTTTCGCTCGGTCTTGTAGTTAACAGCTAGGCTGCGATAGCTCTCCGGCGGGCCAAAAGAAAAAAAAAATATTTTTCTATTTTTTTCTTCAAAAGGGTGCGATATCAGCGCCTTTACTCGGTCTTGTGGTTAACAGCTAGGTTGCGATAGCGGCGGCAATTTTTTTTTTACTTTTAAAAGGGTGGTTTAGACGTTGTTTTGTAGTATTGCACGTTGTGTTGTGGTTAACAACTAGGCTGCGATATCTGCGCCTTTACTCGGTCTTGTGGTTAACAGCTAGGTTGCGATAGCGACGGCAAATTTTTTTTCACTTTTAAAAGGGTGGTTTAGAAGTTGTTTTGTAGTTAAACAGTTGATAAGCAGTTAAAAGGGTGGTTTGCACGTTGTGTTGTGGTTACAACTAGGCTGCGATTGCGCCTTTCGCTCGGTCTTGTAGTTAACAGCTAGGCTGCGATAGCGGCGGCGAAATGCTCAATGGTCATGTCACGGGCAGCTAATCTTTTTTTTTTTTTTTTTTCGCCCTTGAAATGGCGGTTGGCATAGTGTATTGTGGTTTACAAATACGCTGCTATATCTGCGCCTTTCGTGCTAGGTTGCGATATCTGCGCCTTTCGCCCCAACACATCTGATTTCAGCAGTCCTAATTAGTTGCCTTTTACAACATTCTCTTCAGCCGCACTTGTGATTACGAGTATGTTGTAACATCACTAGACATCACTAGGTAGATTACGTGTATCACATTAATGTGCGAAATTCGCTTGCTTAGACAACTGGACCCGCTATCCTGTTTAAACTCTGGACATCAAAGTTGTCGACTGGTCTGAGAATGCCCGTTACGTCTCAACTCTAACCCTCGGTAATTAGCCACCTGCCCGTCCGCAAGTTCGGGTCTTTTGTCCGTTCGACTGGAAGATTGCATAATTTTTCAACGTAGATGCGTTCCCTGGTCCAGCTGTTAAGCTAACGTTAAATTCCACTGAGATAAATTGTTGGTTGGTCAGACACTTTGATCGCCGCTAGGAAGATCGCTTGGGTTTGCTGTTCAGTCACCTCATTGTTTCACTTTGTAAGGTT